GACTCAGTGAGCGTCCATACCGACTCGCAGGAGGGCGACTCCTCTGGTTCGACCTCGACCTCAACCCATGGGCCTGCATACTGCTGGAGGTCACCTGCAGGCTCATATTCGACGTGCGGCAGTCGAAATCTGGTCTTGTGGTCTCCGGAGGCAGGTACCAGCTGAGCAGTTTCCGTTGTGCATAGGCTGGCAGCCGGGTCGGTATCGTCCTCTGACTCCGGGTGGATAACCTCCGAGCTCCTGTTGTCGGCAGCTGGCTCGTCCCAGTCTGGCTCCAAATGCCAGATACTGGGTGCCACCGCTGGTCCAGCTTCCAGGGGCGGAGGTGTCCTATCCTCCGCTTTCTTGGGCATCTTTTTGGGCTTCGGCGGCATTCTCCTGGGGGTCTCCTTCGGCTCCACGTTTGAGCTGCCCTGGCTGCCTGTGCTGGTTGCGGAGAGGCCTGGACCATCTGGGTCACGGGAGGAGCCTGGTTCGGCTGCTTCTGAGGATGCCCTCGGGCGTTTCTTCGGAAGAGGGCGAAGCTTGCCGTCCGGCGTCGTCGCCGGTTTGGGCCGTGCCCGTGGTGGTGGCTCGGAGACCGGCGGGGTGTCCTTCTGCAGGTCGTCGGCCTGGGGCTCGTCCTCCTCCGGATCTCCGGCTCCTGCCCGCATCGACCGCCAGATGGCCATGGAGTACCTAGTGATAGGTGGAGGCGCTCGTCGCCAGCGGGCTCTTTGTAGAGCGCGTCGCGTAGCCAGTTGTCGGGCCCTCCTGAGGGGGCATTGTCCTTGGCGTCCGCGAGGACGAAGTAGCCACCTAGGGTTGATCGGAACCATTGGGCACACGGCAGGTGGCTCACGCTACACGAGGTAAGGGCAGGGCGCCTGGGCACTACGCAAGTCTGGGTCTGTCTGTGAATGCCTAGCATGGGGCTATGAGTCCAGCCTTGCACCGGGGTGCGGGGGAAGTGGGCCTCCATTGAAAACTGTTCTGCTCCCTGGACGTGTGCTATGCTGTTCTTCTGTGAGCAGCGCAGGTGACAGACATCTTCAAGTGAGGCGCTGTTAGCAACAATGGCAGTCAGCTGCAGCGACCGGCGTAGCATGCAGTAACCTGGGATCTGAGGCCGCAGCAGGTCTGGTGCCGGAGGAGAGCACGTGTTTCCTTCGGCTGTGTCGTGCTTGGAGAAGGTACCTGCGCTGGTGCAAATAAGGCAGTGGCGCCGCGTGGCACGGTTGCAGCTACGGGCGTGGTGGAGGCAGGCACACCGGACATGCTGCTGGAGAGCCACCTCCGGTGGCACAGTACCAGCGAGGACACAGCTATCGCGTGCGGCTCCGGCTAGGCCCCTGTCGCGGCAGGAGGCGAAGGCGGTGCCAACCTCAGTACGGCATGCAGTGATTGTGGTCGACCCGGATGGCTCAGAGTGAGAAGGCTGAGCACTGCAACTATTGCTGCTGGCAGGGTGCCTGTAAGCGGCAGTGCAGTTATTTTCCCGCCGGCCTGGACTGTGATTGGCGTCCGGGTGAACCGGAAGAAGAGTCCGCCGAGGAGGCAGTACCTGAGGCCAGCGGCCGTGTCGAGGATGTTGTGGAAGAGGTTCTGCTGCACTGTTCCGTCTAGGGACCACCAGATCCAGATCCAGGTCCACTGGGCCCACTGGGACGGATATGGATCGTAATTGTCCATCCTTGAGTGTGGACCGTGGTAGTAGTGGAAGCGGGGGCAGCTGTTCGAATCGGTCGAGACGGAGGTCTGGGCCCCGGGCTGGAGGGGCCATGGCCGACAGGTCCGCATCCTCCCGCAGGTGGTCTGGCGCCAAAGCTCGTTGCTGGTGTGGGTGGTGGCGGTCCGCTCGAAGGATTGTGAGTCGGAAGGGGACCTGGCGTATCCATTGGCATAGCTGCTGGTAGGGGAGCCATGGCTCCTGCAGGGGTAACCCCTGGCAGCGGTGGGGCCGGCGAGGCCTCGACGGTTGCCGGCGGAGCTGCCGTAGTCTCAGGTCCCACTGGAGCCGGTGATCTGCTTCGCGGCCGGTTGACAGGCACCGGAGGTGGCGGACCTCGTGGCGCGGCACTGGAGTCTGCCGGCTCATCTGGTGAATCAGGGCTGCTGGGAGACGTCGGCTCACTGATGCTCTCCTCCGCAGCGGGCTTAGCCTTTGCTGAGGAAGCTGCCGAACCCCTGCCCCTACCACGGCTTCGCTGATTCCTTGGTGCCATGAGGCCCTCCGCCTGTTGCCGGGCTGGCCTACAGAATCTAGACAGTCTCGAGCCACAGCAGCTGCCATGGTTCCTCGGGTGACTCGAAGCACAAGGAAGTAACAGTGCACGGTGCTGCTGGGGCGGCTGCAGAAGAGCCGGCTGCTGGACAGGCAAGGTGAAGGCTGCAGTCGCTGCAGGCGCTGAGGGCTCCCTGCGGGATCGTGGGTAGAGGGAGTGGGCTCTGTGCACGGATGTCTCGGCAGGTGATGCCCGCACGCCAGGCTAGTTTTGCTCGGCATGCCTGGTCCTAGCTGAGCTCGGGTCCTTACGAGAGAAGCCTCACACTGCAGAGGATGAGGGCGAGCTCCGGTCACAGTCCTGCACCAAGGATCATTGCAGTAGTATTGGAACCAGAGTGGCTGTAACAGGACAGAGCTGAGGCTTCGGCATGCTTTGGCACGGCTCTTGGCTGAGCTGGAGGAGCGAGGTCTTGAGGGCCGGCTGCCCGCGGTGGCGGGCTGAAGGAGTTTGGTAATGAGCTCTCCCGCTCGGAGGGGGCTTCCGGTTACAGCCGGGGCAGGTGGTGCCCGTTCTAGACCTCGGTGGACCGGTTGACACTGCCTGGGTGTGGCTGGCTCTGAGTCAGAGTAGTAGGAGTAGCTGTCGTCCTCCAGTGGGCGGCCTTGGTCTGCCCGGTGTTGTCTGTAGAGAGCTGGGGGCATGACAGGTGGACCTGGATTCGCTGCTCTTGGTCTCGTCGAGGGCCGGTCAACTTGTCGAGAGAGGGAGGCTCTTTTCCGAGGGGGATCCTGCTGTTGGACAGGGGTGCCGCTGGGAGCTGTGTTCCGACGAGGCTTCTTAGGCGGCGACGGTGTGCCCTGGGGCCGCGCTGACTTGGAAGGAGGTGGTCTGTTCGAAGGGCTTCGAGACCGGGGTCTGCGCCTGAGCTTCGGACTGGGCGGCCGTCGGGAACGCGAGGAAGAGCGTCGGCTGTGTGTCAGTCTCTTCGACGAGGTGCCCGGTCTGGAGCGGCCCGCGGACCTCAGGCGAATTGGGGCCGTCTTTGGCCTTGGTTCCAGGTCTCTCCTGTCTGGCTGCTGTTCTTGCATAAGCTCCTCATGTAAGCGCTGCATCCAACCTGGAGAGCGATGATAGAACGCCTCGGAGTAGACGGTGCAGGGCGGAGGTGCAGCTTCCCGGGGATGTCGAACAGCTTCACACTCCTGAGTGTACAGACGGTTCAGCCTGCCGGGGCGAGACTGGTCACGTCGTCGCTTGCTGTCTGATCGCGGCATTCCGTCAGGGGCCTTGAATATCAGGTCTAGAGGGGACCAGGGCGGGTTTCCTGTTTGAGAGGTACCCGGCTGCGTCAGAAGCCAAACACAACCGGACAGAGGAGCGGCACTAGCTTTAGGCAGTGGCGGTGGCCTACTCGATGAGAGGGCCTGTGTGGTCGGCGGAGGTAGGCTGACCTGAAGGTCCATCAGGAACGGCACCAGGCAGCTGTGGCAGGAGAGGTCTGACAGGTGTCGGAAGGCTCTGGTACAGAGGTCAGGGCAGTGAGGCTCCAGCTCGGCGAGAGCTTGCACCTGAGTATCGCGTGGGGCAGTCACATCGGCATCCATGGAAGCAGATGCCGGGGGACAGGCCACCGCAGGCGAGGACCCCTCTAGCCTGGGTGCGCGGGCAGAGGTGAGGAAATGACAGCGGACAGAGTGCTCGGTGTGAGTCACGGGCAGTGTTGTCCTCGTAGCAGGGTCACCTGGGCCAACGCAGGGGCAGGACAAGTGGGGATGGGTGTTAGTAGGGCCAAGAGCACAGGTCGCGAGCACAAGCCGATATCGATCTTTTGCTGTTGCCAGTATCAAGTCGGCGCTGCACTGCTGGGCAACTTGGTTAAAACGGCTTCCCTCAAGACTTATCTGTAGAAGGGAGGGGGCCTGGCGCCTTTGGTGCGTTCTCTGTGCTGACTGGAGAGCGGGATCTCGATCGAGGGCGCTTTGGATCCGTGGAGCTGGAGGGCTTGGCCAGGGAAGCAAGAGTCCGCTCCGCTTCGTCTGCAGCTGCCATGAGATCCGCCGTGTCAATGGAGTCCGGAGAGCCCGGCTGGGCCTGAGGGTGCTGACTGCTCTGAGGCTCGTCAGCGGTCGGCAGGGGACCAGGGCGCAGTGCAGTTGCTGATCCGATGCGGTCCCAGTTATTGGTGTTCCAGACCTGGTTGTGCAGTCCTGCACGGTAGCGTTCCTTAACGATCGAGTTGTCCAGGGTCTGATGCAGACTGGCCAGCGTTGCTGCAAGGCTAGTATGCTCCGAGGGTGGAGGCGGTCCAGACGATGTGGCAGGATGGCCGGATGGCGACTGCGACATGACTCGGCGGATCCTTGGTGGGCTGCGTGGTCCCGGATAGTGGGTCTAGTCAACAGCTTGAGCCTGCAGGCATGGGCGGGAGAACTAGAAGAGCATGGCAGCCTCTGGTGGGTTCTCCACTTGCAGTGCTTCGGTGCTGTCTGAGGTTCGGGCCACGCAGTCCAGGGCAGTGCAGCCAGACACAGTGACAGTGATTTGGACCCAGCGGCTTGCGGATGGGGGGGTAGGGGATGCGGAGGGGAAAGGTAGGCCAGGAGGAAAAGAAGGTGTAGTTGCACCATCCTGCAGCCTACTCTATGCGCACACGACACACTAACTGTCGTCGTTCGAGCCCAGGTGCTTCATTGAAGCAGCAGTAGCAGTGGCAGTGGCAGTGGTAGTAGCTTGAACAAACGCTGTCGGAAAGTACAATGTCGGTCATGGTCGGGCTTGGGTGCGATGCCGCACCTCGAACACTTCGTCGTCGGGCTCGGCTTGCATCTCTTTGGAGGCGGAAATCTCACAGGTGAGAAACTGCCGAAACTGACACGACATGCTCCCTTACAGCCCAGTAAGCACGGTCTCCCAATTCCTTTGCGTTCTATAGAGTTTCTTGGTACTGTTGATGATAAAAATCCTGCATTACCCTAAGGGCCCTAAACTATGGGAATTATGGTATCTTCCTTTATTATGGGTAATCCAGGATATATATCATCAACCGTATCAAACCTCATGGGCTCCATCCGCTCGGTCCCAGCCTCGAAGACCTCGTCATCGGCTTCGGCAGGCAGCTTCGGGGAGCCTTGCCCAGCCTGCGAAGTAGCGTTTCCGACCCTGAAGCCAAAACACAGCACAATGGTTTAGGGTTTAGGGTTTAGGGTTTAGGGTTTACGGTAATCTTTATGAGGCTTTTCTTATCTTATCACGATTTATACTCCTTAACCAGCCTATAACCTTAACCAGCTTTGTCTAGTGGGGACCATCACATGCTTTGTTTAGGGGTCTGAAAACGAGTTCCACTGGACACGATCTTGTGATTGGGAGGGTAGGGCTTTCGGAGTGGAGCACCACAAATGGAAGTTGAGACATGGCATAGAACTGGCGAAGACGAGATCTGCCACAGAAGAGCTCAGGAAGACGCACCATCACTACTCGCTCACTCACACGCTCACTCACTCATTCACTGGCACAATCACCACTGGCTCGCGGACTGACTGAATCAACGACTCACTCACTCACTCACTCACTCGCTGCCTCACTGACTCATTGAGACACCAACTCACGCACGCAATCTGGCTGTGTGCTTTTGGGGGGGGTCGAAGTATGCATCACGCGCATGCCGGCGTTTGCGCGCACACTCACACAGTACCACAGTTTGGGTTGACCGCGACCACCGGAAGCCCAGTCCTAGACCCACAACGGCCAACAACCCCCACACAGCCTCGAACACATCGACGTTCGGTGAATCGGAGCTGCAAGCCTGAAGGTGGACAAGTTCGTCATGACTCACTCACAAAAACTGTCATATGGTGAAGCCCTTGCGTTGCTTACTTGCTCTAGCTTTCCTTGCACGCTTCACCCCCCAAAGAGCTAGCTCTCTCTCTCTCTCTTAGAAGGGACATCCCCTAATGGATCCTGAAACCAAAGTCTAAATATGAAGCTGTCCTACCTGATGAGGCTAAATGGGCCGCTGCGGGGGCATAGGGCATCACAGGGCACAACACTGCTACATAACCCCTACACCCCGCCCCTCAATCCTAAAACCCAAACCCTAAATCCTACGGTGTACCCTCAGTTCAGGGCGCCGAAACTGCCAATAAACTCTGAAACCCTTCGAGTCGTTATCGTACGCTCAAGCCCAAACCTGAATCCTGAACTGCAAGCTTCACGGTTCCAGCGTTCCAAACTGCCTAGGGTTTAGGTTTTTGGTTCTTGCCCAAACCCTTTGACCTGCAATCTTTAACCCCTGAAGTGCACCGAAGACCACAATCCTGAAGTCTACAGCCTAGTTCCTGAAGCATCAACCCTGACCCTTCCCCTTAACCCCCCACAACCCCCAAACCCCTAAACCCCTACACCCTAAACCTTAAACCCTTAGAGCCTAACCCCAAATCCCAAAATCCGAAAATCCAACGAAGGCAAGGATGGAGCCTCCATCCACGCCACGGCTTCGCTCCGCTTTGTGGGATTCCTGGGCTGTTGGGGTGGCTTCCCGGTTTCAGGGTGTAGATGTTTAGGGTTTAGGGTTTGGGGTTTACGGTCTAGGGTTTAGGGTTTAGTCTGAGGGCCTTTTTACGCAGGGTTTAGGGTTAGCTGCAGGGTTTGGCAGAAGTCTCCGTAAATGCATACTAGCATGTTCGAGCTTAACAAGGCCACCGAATAAGATGGCTGTTATGAAGCTAAATGTTCTGTTGGGGGCCTTACACGCATATTACAAGATTCCTCGTGTGATTGCTGTATAGAAGGCTTCGAGAGGCTCTGTGTGTTTCTAATTTCGACTCTAAACCCTAAACTAAACTTGGTCAAATGTACACCCCAGAGTCGAATTCCAGGGGTATTTCTCGGCAAGGTTGGAGTTTGGGATTCCGGGCTTTAGCGATAGCGTTGACAAACGTCGAGGTTCAAAAAGCTGCTGCCGTATCTCTCCGGCCTTTCGGGGTGTTTGGGCGCCGCAGGGTTTTCGAGATCACTGTCTTCAGGGCTCAATACTTGCGGTTTTGAGGCTTAGGATTGACGGTTCAGGGCTGAGGGCTCCATCAAGGGCTTCAACCTCAGCAAGTTGGGCCGTCGGAATTGAAGTTCTCAACCGCATCGCTAATCTTCAAGATCCTGCCAAGCTCTGAACCCCGAAAACATCCAAACTTAAAGGCCTAAAGCTCTGAACCCTTCTGCTCTAAAGCCCCCCAAACCTCAAACCCTGAACATCCCGAAAACCTGGAAATGCGAAGCCCAAAAAATCCTCAACCCTCAGGCCCGCGAGTCATCTCCATGCTACGAGCGTCCCAAGGACCCATGCGGCATCGCTGTGCATGGGCTCGGCCACCGCAGCCGACAGCCCACCCGACAGCCGGCAAAGCCGCGTCTCCTCGAAACTGCAGCAGCAGGTGCGAAGAAGAAGAAAAAGAAGCAGAATTCCAGTATAGTAGTATAGTACTTACATGTACACGCATACGCATATGTGCATACGTTCTTGCATGTCTAGCTGCTCACCTGTGCAATACTTTATCGTGGTGTTTGATAGCCTGGCGCCCAATTTCAGATGCTCATGTTCTTGCAGCCGCTGGGGCCTTCATCAAAGTGGTTTATCTCACGTTCTCAAAGCTCACCACCGTTCATTGCCAAATACTGGCCTGGAGAAGCAGCTTCGAATGTAGGGAATCACATCAACAAGCAGCACTCACACCATGGAGACTCAGCCAAAGTTCCCGCACATGGGCCAAACCCATACACTAAACCCAGAGCTTCAAAACTCCACAAACCCTGAACCAATTCAGCCGCGGCTCGGGCACATGCTCGGCCTCATGCAGCATCTTCCACCTTACGCTGTCAAAGTCCGACACGCACGTTATGATCTCGAGACGAAGAGCCTGCTTTTGAAACTCATATTTGGGGGTGTGGCCGGCGTAGTACATCTATGCTATGTCCATTTCCGAGGTCCGTATAGCATTTCTTCTACATCCGGTTGTACTCTTCGCGAGCTGTTTATTGACATATTGGGCTTTGTCACTGCATCCTTGCCTCCATTTTCAAGCATCTCCCGGCAACTGCCAGGTGGCCGCCTACCCATGTGCACTACCCACAGAAGGCCACCACGCAGGGCGCTTCATGCGGGGGCTTGCTTGGTTTTATGAAAGCTTCAGGACATAAAGGACCCCATTGGCGCTGGGGTTGAGTCGACGCAGGTTGTGTGAAGTGGGCTCTCCCCAAGCTCATGCTCAGATTCGGGCGAAGTCGACCCATCCGCAACAAGTCGACACACACTGGGATCCGCAACTACATATGCTGGTTTCGAAAGAGCACAGCCCGACATGTCAAATCTGCGAGTGGCACGAGACTCTTCGCACAAAATGAAGCAAACGTGCACTGAAACAAACGAAAACTGCAAGTGCACGCCATCTTCTAGTCGGAGCTATCCAGGCCTCGAAACGAGGGGGCTGCATGTACACGCTGTGTCTGATCATGGGAGAAAACACATCCATGCATATGTGGAGCCGCGCTTGGCGTTTTTGCTGGGCTTTCAATGTCGCCACACAACTGGCTCCCAAGCTTTATTTCGGAATCCCGATGGGTTTGCCGGGGTAAGATGACTTCCAGCTAAATATTCTTACCAGCTTGTATGCGGAATCCCAACAATGTACACACCGGTGCGAGACGACTTTTGAGTAACACATCCATGCATATTTGGAGTAGGGCTTGGCGTTTTAGTCGGGCCCTCAATGTCGCCACACAACTGGCTCCCAAGCTTTAATTCGGAATCCCCATGTGCTTGCCGTGGTGAGATGACTTCCAGCTAAATGTTCTTACGAGCTTGCATGCGCCATCCCCATCTGCACGCCCGCGCGAGACGACTTTACACAAGGTGAGACGACTTAACCGACTACCCGGTAGCATAACCTAAAAGAATCCCTTAACTGTCTCAAAAACCCCTGCTATGGCTTAGGCCATGGGTGAGGGAACGGTGCCGCCCAGATGCTCCTCCTGCTCTAAACTCTTCAAAAGCAGCTCCTGCCAATGATACAGGTAATAAGAGGAAGGTGGTCAAGGTCGCAATAGTAAGTTAAGAACCATGAAAATACATACTAAAAAAAGAGTACGCAATAAGAATAGCGCTAAGATTATTAGTAATGGGAGGGTCTAAGAGATGGGGGGATGGGCACGCACACTGAGTTGAAGGTTGAGGAGCATCGGTCGGTGGTGCAAGAGATCTTGAAGTCCTTGTTGCATCGCAACTGTGTTCTGACTTGCTCTAACTTACCTTTGGTTAGTGGGGAATGGAAGAATGGTAGTATTAGTATTTATAAGAATACCCCATTCCTCCATTCTCTACTAACCAAAGGTAAACTAAGACATGACAGTTCTAGCTTGTGGTGAGCGTTCCCAGGCATTGCACTCGTATCTGCGAGCCGGAAGTAATGAATCTGTGCTTTCACCTGCTGGACTTGTCTTCCTACACACTAAACCATACAGTACTATAACAATATACACCTGCTTAACCCTACCACTGTACAACATCTCTCTTCGAGTCAGCAGCCAATAAGCTCAGAGGGAAGTTTAGGTTTAGGGCCTCTAAGGTTCAGGGCTTTGGGCTTAGTAACCGGGATTTACGGTCCAGGGCTTATGGAATGGCAAATGCGGATACCCAACCCCACTTTGAACACCTGCCAGATGCCTCGGCAATCCCTGGCACAGAGGCTCTCCAAAAAAAGCCAAGGGATTGGGGTGATAACAGCCCTGTAAGATGCATGTGTAACCCCAGAAGAACCCGAAGAGATCCTGTAAAGACCCGAAGAAGATCCTGCAAATAAGCTATTCGAAGCACAGCGAACCGAACGACCAAGCGCAGTCCTTGGCGCCCAAAATTGCTTGCACAGACGGTGCGCGCACCGCTGGCGCCTGGGCAGGATTTGGGGTCTCAACAGGGCTCTACAGGGGCGTCTAAACGATGCGACAAGGCCTTATAATATAGGGACCTTAAAAAATTAGAATTGGGTTTCGGGGAACATTTTGCTATAATGATAATAACGAGCCCCCAAAATAGTATGGGTAATTATTGAGGCCCCCATAGTAAAGGTGTTAAAGATCGGGGCATTGTAAAGATTGCGGCAGGGTTTGATATGGTTTGTAGAAGAGTTCTTTGAAGTTGCGAATCTGTAAGGGTGTTACAGAGGATTTGGGATGTGGGGTTTAAGCGCTCATTCCAGTTACGGCCGCTATCACCAAGCCGGTTCCACCGAAACTAGCATGTCAAGCGCAAGGCAAAACGCCCTCAAGGAAGACCAGTCCCTTAATATAGGGGCCGTTGGGATGAGAATAGGGTGTTGGAGTGTATGATATCATAACCATATTCATGAACCCTCGGAAATCCTACGACTCATGTTGCAGACCCCGAAAGTCTTCCCGAACCCGAAACGTAAAAACCCCCAGCAAGGGCAAAGTTCTCACGAAGACAAGGCGGACCACACTCATTCCCAAGAGCTCCTAATCTTCAAGATTTTCTGGTGCAGAAATTCTCTAAAAGCAAACGACCTCTAAGCAAAACCCGAGACGCCACTCATTCGGTTTAGGCTTTAGGGTTTAGGGTTTTCTGACGCATAATTAATTTTATCGCCCGGCCTGTGCCCGGATTGCATCTGGCTCGGGCTGCTGATTCCGATGCTCCTCGCAAGGGACTCATGAACAGCTTCTGCAGAAGCGTCGATGAGGTTAGCCTTTCCACCCCAACTCCTGCGCGACACAAACCTGAATCCATAAAGGCTTTGGGCCGGAACTATGCTGAACTTAGAACCCTAGCACAAATTATAATTTTAGCTGTTTCTTAGGGATTATAATAACCAAAAATTAAGAAGTATTTCTAAGTACCCCTAAGGGAAGCCTTACCGATCTGCTGCTGTTGGTGTGCCAAGCGCTGCTTAAGGAAAAGATCTCTCAGCATGGTACTGCGGTTGATGATGAAAACCCTGCATTACCTTAAGGGCCCTAAACTATGGGAATTATGGTATATTCCTTATTATGGGTAATGCAGGATTTATATCATCGACCGTACAGTGGTGTGCCGTTTCGGTTCATGGTTTAGTGTGTCTTGGACACGGCCGGGGGGGTGCGTGGAAGAATTGGGCTTGGCATCTAAACCTTGAGGATCTTCGCACACCCCTGCGGAACCCTTGAAACCGACTTCCTTAATTCACTTACTCACTTGTCCTTCAGTTTTCGAGTTAGCATCAACCCCGCCAAACCCCCAAACGCCGAATCCCAACCCCATATACCCTTCTAGGACCCTGACAGAACCCCTATCAAAAGCCAATAAATCCTCATAAAACCCCCAAGCCACAAACCCCATCTAGAGCCTTTTCAAGGAACCTTCAAGAAACCCTTAAAGGAGCTCTTAAAGGAAGCCTTAAAAAGAGACCTTAAAGGAACCCTTATAAAGAGCCCCGAAGGGAAGCCTTAAAAAGAGCCCCTACAGAAACTCTTCGAAGAACCCGAGACCAAAGAACCCTAAACCCTAAACCGCAAAGAACCCCTCCACGCCGCCTTTTCCTCGCCCTTGGCTTCTTCGGGTGGCTGCACTTCTTCGGCGTCCTCCTCCTCCTCCGGGGTTTAGGGTTTAGGGGGTTTGGGGTTGAGCGTTTAGGGTTTTACGGTTTAGGGAGTTCGGGGCTGAAAGTTTAGGGAAGTTCGGGGGTTGAGTTGAGGGTTTCGGAGCTTGCGTAATCCGGTTGCAACCCCTTCCTCCGCAGGGAGGGTCTCGGGGTTCGGAGCTGGGGGATCTCGGAAGCAGGAGCAGTACGAAAACCTGAAGCCGCACAACGCCCCTATGTAGTGTGGGAACCTGATGATAGTAGAAGCCTTTGTTCTAATCTCCGAGTACTAGAGCCCATACTAAAAGTCGAGTAAGAACTCGGAGAGTTCGCCTAACGAGGTTCCTACATTACATCTCCCGTCAAACACGGTCTGAATCCTTAGACATGATATGCCTTTGTAGTCCCATACAACTACCCTTTTTTGTAAGGCTCCTGTAGTAGCAACCGAGGCAGAACACCCTCTGTCCTCGGATTCTTCCACTTGCGCCGAGGGCGCATTGAAGCTTTCGGGCTTCGGAAGGGTTTCCACCTTCCAAGGCGGGTTTAACCCAGGGCTCAGGGGATGTTCAGGGTTGTGGGCGGCTTGACCTGAGGATTCATGTCAAATAGTGGCCTTAATAGTTAGAAGATGGTCTTGGGGCCCATTTTAACACAACTGTAATAAGGAACACCCAAAATAGTATAGGTAATAGGTGATTATTGAGGCCCCTACAGTAAGCGAGCGTCTCGGCAAGCTCGGAAACAGTTGATGGTAGAAGTTCGGTACGTGCTGTCGCCGGGCTACTGCCAAGCACACTGGAGAGCCGTCTTTAATCCTACACCCCTGCCGGACCACTAAGGAGCCTGAACGCAATCTTGACACTCGGGCTTTGGAGACATTGTCATCTGGGGGTCGGAGTTTAGGGTTTGACGCAACATCCGAATTTCCACCTCCTCCTCCTCCTCCTGCTGCTGCTCCTCCTCCTCATCCTCCTCCTCAACCGTCGCAGGCTCTCCCATCTCTTCCAACTCGTCTTCCTCAGTGTCTTCCTGCCAGCAGGACATCAAGCAGAAGGACATCAAGGCTTAGATATGCCTTGAGCAAGGGCACATGACCGTTGCAACCAAGCTCCATGACTGATGTTTGCTGGGAACCACCGGTGCTTTTGGGCTTTTGTTCATGTGATGCAGCCATTCGAAGCACGTTCGCATGCTCAAGCCCGAAAACCAAGCCAACGGGAAGTTCATGCGCCCAAGACTCTCAACGCACTCAATACACTCAACCCGAACCACTACATAATTTATAGAACCTCAAAGAGCACTTTAGGAGTCCTACAGAAACTCTCAAAACGAAACCCTGTATAAGCACTCTACGAGACGCCGTTGAAAAGACATAAACACCCATAAACACCTGATATCACCTGATCAATGCCCATGAACCATTTTTAAAACACACAACATAAAGATAGCAGGAGAGAGAAAAATGTATATGTACATATGTACGTATATGTATATGTGTACATGTGCATGTGTATATAGTACCTGTATACATATATATATATATATATATAGAGAGAGAGAGAGAGAGAGAGAGAAAGAGAGAGAGAGAGAGAGAGAGAGACAGACAGAGAGAGAGAGAGAGGGAGAGAGGCAGAAGAGGGAGCGAGCGCGCAACCCCCCTTAGGAGCATTGTCTCAAGCGCCCTCGCTGCGGCTGCCTCTTCTTCGGACTCCTCCGAAAACGACGCATCCTCCTCCTCAGAAGAAAGCCAGCGCTTCTTCAGGGTCCGGGTTTAGTTTCAGGGTCTTGGGCTTGGGGTTCCGAGTTTAGGGATTTCACCCCCAGTACCCTCATGCCCTTGTACACTAATGACCCTCATTCCCCCAGCACCCTCGCGACGACATGGGCAGCAGAAGAGTGCTGCCTCGTCCTCACTCTGAGCCTCTTCTTCCTCCGCTTGGGCATCGGCTTCTGGCTCGGACACCTGGCCCGGAAAAAGCTGGGGGAGGCGACGTTTGGGCTTAATCCTGACCACAAAACCGCCATTTCTGAGGGCAAACAAGGATAACACGACAAGGAACCTCTAGGATGCTCTTTGGAACTTACAGGCAGGGCCACGATCATCCTTGGGCCCTGCGAGAACACACGCCGGCGAAAAAGGCGATAGCTAGGAGAAAAGAAAAAACTGCTCCAGATACCCTCCACCACAAACCCTGCACCGCACATGACATCCTGAACTCGAAACCTGAAGCCTGAACCCGAAACCTGAAGCCTAAACCCTGAACTCAGAAGGAAGATAACCGGCAAACAGCACCTGCTCCTCAACGCAGGGAGGTTTCGGCTGGACGCTGTCGGAGAGCTTGTCGGCCTTTTCGGTTTCGGGTGTAGGATTTTAGGGCTTCGGGTTTCGGGCGTCCCTGAACCCCGCGCCCACAGAAGCTCGCTTACAGGACCTGGGGACTCGGGTCTTCGTAGGTAGAGTTCTACAAGGGTTTCGAAGTCTTTCCAACAGCTTGTTAACTTGACGGACTTGAAAGGGAGATTTGCATAAGGCTTGCAAGGACGTGGGACTTAGCAAGTAGCTGAAAGGTGCCGATGTATGTATCCGCATTCACGAACAACACTACTCGTAGGCTACATGCTATGTAGCTTGATCCTTCCCACACGGAACATCTTCATCTGCTTTGCACACCATGTGTTTCATGGCTTGCTTTAAATCCACCTAATGCCAGATAATATACAACACACTGTTAACTGTTTCATTCTAAAGTGTATCGTAGGTATAAGTCTAAATTCTAAATGGTCATCAAGAAATTCTTGGCGCTGGCAGCGGAGCTCGGAAGAAGGATGCTTCCGCAATCTGTCGGAAAGCCACACCCAAACCTGGCGGCCCTGAAGCCAAAAAGGTGCACAACATCCGAGCCCTGTTCAACCCCAGATGCTCCCGGCGTGGGGGAGCCCAGGCCATCGTAAGCTTTGGCCCAAAGCTTTGGGTTTGGGAGTTCGGGATTTTCCGTTAAGAGTTTTAGGGATTGTGGCTTTAAGCCTAGGGTTTAGGGTTTAGGGTTTAGGGTCAACCAAATGCCGTGTTCCAGTAACGATCCGAGCTCCCGGCCGTCAGTATGGGCTCTTCGGCGTTGACTTGCTCAGACGATTCCTGGGAAATACGGCGACCAATCCGCCTGCAAAAACTCCCATACCTGACTGATGCACATATTTTTGAGAATTATGCCTCTAAACCAGTATGGTTGGTAAAAACTCTAGACTTGGGTTTGGGCTGGGGATCTGAATACGGACCCTTCTCCCAAAGGCAGAAGAACTCAATCAAACCCAAGCCCGAAGCCCGAAACCTCAAGCCCCCGAATCCTGAAAGCATTAGACCTTACAAGACTCCTCCAAAGGCCGAAAAATAAACATAAAAATTAGCATAGCCCTATACCTGAGCCCCTCTGCGCCTCTTGCGCGTCCTGACTCGGCGAGACCACGCTCTCAGTCTTCTCCGAATCCTGCGGCTTGCTGGCTTTTAAAACTTACCCTTCATGCAAGAAAGATGAAGCATCCCTCTGCAATCTCGGGCTGTTTTGCTTAGTGAACTCGTGTTAGAAACTAAACCGACAGAGTAGATCCGAGAGATCTTGAGGGCACGTGCTTGGGATCCCGAGGTGAGCACTTGCTGCCTGGCGCCCTGAAAGCGAGCTTTCAAGACGTCAGAAAGGAGGTGGAGGGTTCAGTGTCGACTGTTTCGGCTTTAGTTTGAGTTTCAGGTCCGGAAAGACGGCCGCGGTGTGTTGCTCATACCACGGCTTCAGGATGCTATGCCCAACAACAGGGCGGCAATAAACATCCAGAAGCCGCAGGTGTGCAGCGCGGTGGCCGACACAAAGCCCTTTAGCCAGAATCCTAATTGCTTTTGGGACTCTGCCGTGATTTTGAAGGATCCTATAGTTCAGTGCACCCCCTACCACAAGACCCTGAATATTCAAGGGCACCTGTGGATGGTTGTCAAAATCAGGGCCCCTTTTTGGGGTACCCTATTTATTAGGTGCCTTATTATATTAGGGACCCAAAAAGGGACCATAATTTTGAGAAACCACCCATATCGATCCTTGGATATCTCCTTCTCGTCAGTCTCCTGGGCTTGCTCCGTCTTCTCCTCCTCCTTGAGAGGCTTCAGGTGTGAGACTTTTTTCGAGGGCTTTTCCATCCGCAAGAAATCTACGGTGCCGGCTTGGCCTTCGGAGTCTGTGGGGTGAAAGGTTGCAGGGTTTCGGGGGTTCGGGGGCAAAGCTTCACATCTCAGAAATGGAGTATCAGGCGCGCTCCTTAGGGTTTTAAGAACATGTAGACATTCTAAGAATCTAAGAACAAAAAACTTCTGAAAGCAGCGCCCCGCCCGAAAGCCATGCACGATCCGGTACCAAAAAACAGATAGGCCTTGTCCACAGCTTCCGGCGGCTCCTTGGGGAGGAGTTCTCAGAAGGCTTCTACAACTTGCGGTAGAAGACAGCAAGAGGAAGAGGGCCGAGAGGCCCGAAAGTAGTCAAGACGACCAGAAATGCGACGGTTTAGGGTTTAGGGTTTAGGGAATGCATTACAGCACTAGGTTTCCAAAAAAGGCTTTTCACGGTTGAAACTCCTGAGGGTGAGTGCGCCTCCATCTTAATGGTTAGAACTCGGGGCTCATGCGTCCAGCACCGAACAGCCTCCTCCGAAAGAGCTCTGATGCCGGGGTGATGCCATCATAAGAAGAGAGAGTGAGGATTTAGAAGCTGCCCCCACCGTGTAATAGTGGTTTCATGGGAATGTAATAGGGCCCTAATATAATCCTTATAGTCACTATTACAGGGTGGGGGCAGCTTCTAAGAGATGATGGTGGTCTCCCTCAGCACCCTGAAGCCTCCACGGCAACTTCTGCAAAACTCTCTCAAAAAAACTGCAGGGTCGAGTGACCCTGGGTTTCGTCGCATGGCAGCCTAGCCTACATGCTCAGAACCGGTTTTGGTCGCGCACTTTGGAATCACCTCTTCGCAGAAGAGCACGGTTTAGGGTTTTGGGTTTAGGGTTTAGGGTTTAGGGTTTAGGGTTTAGGGGAAGAGGGCTTCAGTGAACTCGGTGAACCTTCTGAGACGCCGGCGGAAGGTGCGCAGTCGTCTCCGACTTCGAACTCCGTGCTTGGCTCCTGCAAGAAACTACGTAAATGATGAATATTATAGGGGCCTTCATAATTAGAATAGGGTTTTGGGGCATATTATACTATACCTATAACAAGGAGCCCCGAAATGGTACACATGAAGGCCCCTATAGCAAGTAAACAATGAATACATCGTTGTGGCCTAAGTTACTTTCAGGATTTGTTGTTTCGGCTCGAGGCGCTGTAGGGAAAAAATTGCTAGACGAATCTCTCGTCGTGGGCATCATATATCTTCGGACATAGCTTCGAGCATACTGGCTGCTGCTGGCTCATGGACAAGAACTACCTCCAATGTTTAGTTCAAATGCCCATAGCAAGTTTTCGGCAAAACACAACTGCTTCAGATCAAGATCATGGTTCAGAGATTGGGGTCCCTAATATAACACGGCACCTAATTAGGGTACCCCAAAAAGTGCCCTAATTTTGACAACCACCCACTGTGCCAATCACCACGCATGCGCAGGGGCTTCTGGTGCACATTTGGCTTGCTGTTCAGGGCTTCTATATGGGCGTTTCCGAAAATTAGGGCTGATTTTGGGGTCCTTATAATGAGGATCCTATTATTTTGGGTACTATGTTAGGGTCCCTCATTTCCGGAAACTCCCATATTCAAGCCCCATGAAGCCCAACCTAACAAACTCTGCAGTGGCTAGGTGGCATCGATCATCCCCAAGGTGGAACTGCTGAATTACTCACATCGGAACTCCAATTCAGACAGCCTCTGCCAGTCTGCTCGCACTGAACCCTAAAATCTGCACCCTAAACTTCTCCTCAACCCTGCACTCCATACCCGAAATCCTAAATCCTTTACTCTAAATCCTAAACCCTATCCAAGCCCTGACCCCGAAACCCAGACCCCGGCCCTGCCTCTGGACGCTGAGCCGGTGCAGCTGGCAACTCGATCTTCTCTGGAGGAGCCTCCTTCCAAAAGCCGCATTCCGGTTGCGATAAGGGTAAAAGCACCGGTTTAGGGTTTAGGGGCACTCCAAGAGCTGCAGCTACGGCTCGATAAGATGTCCTCTTTCAAGACTTGGGTTTAGAGTCTGGAGCTTTGGCTTTATTCGGGTTTTGAGTTTTGGACTTGCGACTGTCGCAGGAAACAGTCTCCTGACCAAACGCCAATCTGAAGGAGAATGGTAAAGTTGCAAAATCACTGTCCTACCACTGAAGCCTTCCTAACCTCCTCTAAACCCTAAAGCCTGAGTTCTTGAAGCCTTCTCTCTCAAGGAAATGAAGTGTCGTGTTGCAAATGTCTTCACGGATCGAGTGATGATTTAGGATTTCAGAGTAAAAGTTTTAGGGGCCTGGGTTCTGGGTTTGGGAATGTATGGTTTTGGTGGGATTTATTTCATCTCTAGGGCGGATGCGAAAAAACTATGAGACAGAGCCTTCGAACCCCTCAAACCCTAACTTCCTAAACCCTGTTCCCAAAACTCCAGTTCCTAAAGCCCCGACCCCAAAATACGCAAGCTGGATCCCTGCAAGCCCGAGCTCTTAAACCCCAACTTAGGGTTTTAAGAGGCTTGAGGTCTTAGGGTCTACCGGCCCTATTCCCTCAAGAAAAAATCCTATATGGGTGGTTGTCTAAATTATGGTCCCTTTTGGGGTCCCTAATATAATACGGCACCTAATACTTAGGGTACCTTAATCCCTATAACTCCCCAAACCCTATAAGACCCTAAACCCTCTATAAAACCCTATAGACCCTATGAAACCCTAATCCCCAAAAAGGTTTTGGGCCCCCTAATTTTGACAACCACCCATATGACCCGAGGATCCCTCTCTGGAACGCTCGAAAGAACCTTCTGGAGACCTTAGGTACGGCCCCCCATACAGTAATAGTGGCTATAACGGTTCTTTTAGGGCCCTACTATATTCCTACTATACCACTATTACAGGGTGGGGGCCCCTTCTAATGATACAGTAAGAGTCTATAATATGGCTAATTTTAAGGACCTAATAGACCGAATATATCTGTATTATTCAACTATTACTGAGTGGGGGGCCGTATCCAATGCATACCTGACATCCCCGCTTGCCTCGTCGGCTTCTTCCTCGGGACGAAGTCTCACCCACACACTCAAGAACCCTCCATCCAGAAAAACTTCCTAATACTCTAGAGTTCTAGGAGACGGGTAATGTTTTGGTAGCATTTCCATAAAGCACTGTAGGAAGGAGCTTTCCGTGGAGTCAAACCAGTATAGGATGCAGTGGAGGAAGAAATGTGAGGAGTCGCGTCGAGCACAGATACACAAGCCTGAATCGGTGGAACTTTTCCGAGGCTGCTCAAGAGTTTGAGTCTTGCGGTTTTGGGGCTTTGGGTTTCGGGCTTTCGGGCTCTAGACTCTAGGCTTCAAGCCTTGTTCTAGCTGCCCAAAGCTCAGCTGCAGCGTACCAGGCCCGTTTCTTTCAGAACAGCCTCCTGGCAATCTGCCGGGCCCCCCCACAGAATCGGAGACCACTGGCGCCTGCGAATAGTCCTGGACGGAAGATTCTAATCGCCCTTTCGCAGCCCTAAACACAGAACCCTAAGCCCGTAACCAAAAGAAACCCTAAACCCTAAACCCTAAACCCTAAACCCTATACCAGAAGGCCAAGACTTCCACCATGAATTTGCTCTTCATGTTCGAGGCTAACGACGCCTCCAAACTTTGCGTTCACCCGAGCGGCCTGAACATCCACCTGCTGAGGGTTTTGAAGTTTACTTCGGGGGTAACTGCAGATTCCCAGGCAGGTTGGAGCATCACTCCCGTGCGCCTTTGCATGTCGAGCTGGCTTGGACACTTCTTTCGGCTTGTCCATGTCCTCACGCGGAATAGTTTGCTGGCGAGCGGGTAGGCTGCAACGGGCATCTAAGGGATCTGACAACGTCCAAGTGCGTGTCCTCACGGATAGGGTCTAGCAGAGGGCACGCCAGTTTCGGAATCGAATTCCCTCACCTGCTGACCGCTCCGGTAAGGGAGGAAAAACCCCACCACCCTCAGAACAAAGTCATACGACCCGCTGCCAAGGACTTGCAGCTGGCTTCCCATTTACCACGCCCCTACACCCTAACACCCTAAACCCTAAATCCCTATGAACCCTAAACCCTAAACTCTAAATCCCTATGAACCCTAAACCCCTAAACCCTAAACCCTAAACCCTAAACCCTAAACCCCTAAACCCTAAACCCTAAACCCTAAACCCTGAACCCTAAACCCTAAACCCTAGACCCTAAACCCTAAACACTAAACCCTAAACCCTAGACCCAAGGAGCCTCAGCTTTAGAGTCAGAGGTTTTGCTGTATTCTGGGGCATGCGGGCTCAGGATTATGGGACTCAGGGGCTGCAGACTTCATAATATCAATACTAATAATAAGACTGATACTAATAGTAATCATAACAATAGTAGTAGTAGTAAAAATAATAATAATAATAACAACAACAATACTAATAGTAATAATAACAATAGTAGTAGTAGTAATAATAATAATAATAGTACTACAGAGAGGGAGCCCCTTGTCTAAGAACCGCCGAGCATGTCCTTGGCTTCATTCTGCTGCTCCTGGCATCTGCGACGCTCGAGGTCAGCGGCTTGCGCTGCAGATCACTTGATGATTGAGATCACGGCCAAGAGACCCAAAATAGAGAGCCCGAGCTCCTCAGCAAACAAAGCATGAACCCCTACCACCTGAAAGCATCCTTAATTGCAAACCCTGAACCCGCAACACCCGAAATAGAAAAGAGAAGAGATGGAGAGGGGGCCTTTGCCCGCCGGCTGGACACCATGAAGTCGTCGACCTTGTCAGAGTCCTCTCCCCGCAGTTCCGGAAAACGAAAAAGTACCACGGACTGCTCCTCCAAATCATACTATGGTCACGAAACCCTAAACCCTGAGCCCTAAACGTAACAGAAAGGACTGTTGTGGCGTGTATAGATAAGCAGTTTTTACAGGTTCAAGAGTAGCAGTACCAGCCACAACAGTCCCGTTTGAAGTAAGCGACTTACTTTACTAGCTACACCAGACCGGTTCTAAAACAAAGCCCGTGCTCTAAAACTAGGTCTGTCTATTGTTCTGCACGATCAACAACAAAGTAAGAAGTTACAAGCCTTGCTGTTTTATGGAGTAATTTCAGAAACCAAAAAAACCAAAAAAAACAAAAAAACACAAAAAAATCAAAAAAACCAAAAACCAAAAAAAACAAAATAACCAACCCCATACCTCCGGAGCCGCCCGGTGATATGGGGTCGGTTCTTTTGGTTTTTTTGGTTTTTGTTTTTTTTTGTTTTTTTGGTTTTTTTGGTTTTTTGGTTTTTCCGCTCCTGCACAGGTACGCGCCTGTCAGCCGAGCCCCAAAAAAACAAAACAAACAAAAAACCAAACAAGAAACAACACACAAAACTCTGGTGGACTAGTCTCCTGGAGAATTGTTTTTTTTGGTGTTTGGTGTTTTTGTTTTTGGATTCTTTGTTCCTTTTGGCTTTCTTGGTTTTCTTCCTTAGGTATACTGACGCGCGAGTACACGAATGACGTCGGCCCTGATCATCTCTTTTCCGGGGCGTAGAAAGCAGTGTTGACTATCCGGCAGGCAAGAATTGAAGGAAATAACGGCTTTAAGCCGGTTCGCGTGCCCAGCCTTTTGGGCCTTTTCATGACTTGCAGATACGGTCCTCATGAAGCACTGCGTGGATAATGCCTGACTCCAGGGGTGTTCCTAAATAAGAACAAAAACCAAAAGAAACAATACCAAAAACAGCCAAACAAAAACAATATCAACAAGCCAAGAAAACCAATACAAAAAAACTCAAAAACATATTGCGGAAACCTTTGCAATCATGCGCACTTGTGAAAGAGTTCTGGATATTGTTGTTTTTTACAGGTGTATCTTTTGGGTTATGTTGGTGATGTTGTTTTGCTCATTTTTAGAAATGAGTTTACTGTGCTGGTTCTGATCTGCCTTGTCTCATGGCTCTGCTGGAGCTGCCTTGTTCGAGTCCAATATTAAATATTGCTGATCGTATGGCCTTCCCATAGCATCGCATTCCCATACAGTGATAGATTCATGTGTTAACAAATTGATATATCAATATAGTTAATGTAAGGGAACAATAGTATATTTGTATACGTGTATATAATTGTTCTTTCTATATTGGTACATTAATGCATGAGCACAGTAGTATATTGGTGTATTAATATGTTTTCCTATTAGCATATTCGTACATTAGTTCATTAGTATATTATTGGTATACCAGTATATGTACTATACTCTTATATTATCTAATATTGCATAGGTATATCAATATGTTGGCATAGTAGTATATGAATATGTGCGTATGCTTGCGTATTACACTATTCGTATCCATCAATATTTACGTAAATATTGATATTGGTATAAATATTGGCATTAATTACTAGTACTAGTACTAGCATTAATGCTAATATGAATGTGGTGATTTGTGTCCGCAGGAATGTTTGTACTAGTATTACTCTTGACTACATCAAAAATAGTAGCATATTGATACATGAATGCGTTATAATGTATTTGTACTTTAACATAGTGGTATGCATACGTATCTACTTTAGAATCTGCATGTGCGTATTAGTATTGGCATTAATATACGTACTAATATCACTGTGAATATGATTATTGGTATGCACAGAGGCATGAATGTTAAAATTAACATTGGTATTATGCATAGTCGTGTTAGCCTTAAAACAAGCGTTAACATTAGTACAATCGTCTTGGGTTGAGTATCCAACAGTTTATCAATGTCAGTATTAGTAGTGGTGACAGTGTTACTATTGACAAACATAGGAGTATATGTGTTCGTATCTGCAGGAGTGTCGACACTTATATCAATACTGATAATTGAAAAATACGGGCATTGGATTAGCAAAAATAATAAATTAATCGAACTTTCATATTATGATGACTTGTGCTCGCAGGAAAATTCGGAAAAGCGTCAAAACCCTGGGGTTATGAAAAGCCAATAAGCACTGGGCACATGATCCGGCTTAGAACCATAACGGCTCCTGCCTCATCGCACGAAGCAGCTTCATCAAAATACTATGTGGTACTACGACGCCATTATTCGTAATGTGTGTTTTCGCAGGGGGGGACTTCCCGCCTGGAACCTTCATATTGTTATAGTAACAACCGTGTTAACAATACCATAACGGAAATAAGACTGATTGCAACAATTACGTTAAAGAACTGTTACTACAATCACAACAACAACGGTGACAATTGAAATGACATGAAGGCCGTTCTCAAAGAGAAAGGCCTTGAGCATCTGTATGAGAATCTGTCCTAAGACAGGCCTCATGAGCATATGTCGCTTCGTTTTGGGTGTTCTGCACATATGCGTCCACGTAGTTTTCCATGTCACGTGTGTTGCCACAGAGACCGCTCGAAGCAAAGCATGCTTGTTCTGCTGCATCACAGGTAGCGACGAAGAAGTAAAAAAATGCTTATCTTGTGCGTATCTTCCCACGCCACAACAGTCCCCTCAAACGTAAACATCTCTCTGACTTAAGGGATATTCCTCAGACAAGTGCTATGTTCTTTTACCATTCCGAGTTCGGATCCCTTATAGATCCCTTTTTAGGATCCCCTATAGATCCCTTTTTAGGATCCCTTAGAGGATCCTTTTTTCGAGTAGCTTCTGGAGTTTCGAGCCTCCTCCGTGCTTCCGAGAGCTCGAAAGCGGCACTAGCTTGGGGTTCGGGGTTAGGGTTTCGGGCTTAGGGCTTATAGGGTTTATAGGGTTTATAGGGTTTATAGGGTTTATAGGGTTTATATAGGGTATATAGGGTTTATAGGGTTTATAGGGTTTAGGGTTTATGGTTTCAGGCTTAGGGTTTTTTTGTTTAGGGTTTCAGGCTTGCGGTTTAGGGTTTAGGGTGTCAGGCTTAGGGTTAATAGGGTTAGGGATCGGGGATTTCATTCTTGCATTGGTCTGTGAAGATGGATGTTGGAGGCTGTCGGGGTTGCAGAAACCCTTACAAACCCCCTGAAGGGCCTTCGGAGTACCCTGTAAAGGAAGCCTTTCGAGCACCCCCCCCCCCATAGCAACCCATGTAGTACCCCGCACAGCAGCAACTCTGGGGAACCAACCCTAAACCCTAAACCCTAAACCGACTCTAATGTTGGTGAGAGTTTGTCTCCTCATCGCTTTCGCCGGAGAAGCGCATCTTTGCCAGCCTGTAGCCGGTAGGGTGGGTTCGGAGCCTCGGGATCCCGGTCGTCGACTTTAAGGGCTTAGGGTTTAGGGCTTAGGGTTTTGGGCTTAGGGTTTAGGGCTTAGGGTTTTGGGCTTAGGGTTTAGGGCTTAGGGTTTTGGGCTTAGGGTTTAGGGCTTAGGGTTTTGGGCTTAGGGTTTAGGGCTTAGGGTTTAGGGTTTGGGGCTTAGAATCAACTCCGAAACAGCTTGCTTCGAATTAAGGGATGAGGGCTTCGAGCTGGATTACCTGCGGACTGACAGCGGTTGAAAAGCGGGGAAGACAATCTTCATGAACAGTGACTGAACTATCCGGATGTATCGAGCAAATGCCCGAAGCTTAAGGCTTAAGGACCTGAGCTACCGACTCTTCCAAAACAGATATATTCCTTACTGGCCACAGGCGCTTAGCCTTCGCCCCCATCATGAGCAAGAAAGCCCAGCAAGTCACAGAACAAAGCCTAAGAGATGGTCGGAGGTGCCTGGATTTGGCGGTAGCCGCCACCTCCTCACGCTTCTTTCGGGCAAGGGCCATAAGCCGCAGTTTCTTCTCCTGGAAGCAAAGATGATCGGGCTTTCCAGGGACATGGGACATCTTCCAGGTCTGAAAGGTCCCATGCTCTGCAAACGGCACCTTTTGACCGTGGACCCTTTGCACGTGGTGCAGCCCTTCCGGTACGTATGTGTTGAACAACTCAGGAAGGAAACATGACCTGCAGGTCCCAAACATGACATTGAGTTTAGGGGTGGCGGGTCTCGGGCTTACAGCAACACTGAAATTTTACTCTACGCTCTTAACCCCGACAGTCTCGTCTGACGCGGGGCGGACTTGTTTCGATGATAGCCCTTGGAGTATGCAGCCGTTCAGAGAATAAGAAGCTGAGTCTTCGTCAGTGGACCAGTGCGAAATGGTCAAGCTTGCTAGTATCCCGTGTCCTTAACGAAACCTAAAGTATACAAATGCCAACATTCAAAAGGAGCTCTGTATACTTTCACCGAAACCCTAGTGAATATCCTACCCCACATCAACTCAAAGGTCTCTGGGTCAACGTATCGGCGCTCCTCATACGTCTCGTTTCCGGAAACAGCTTTGTCAACGTCCGAGTTCGCGGACTGCTGTTTGCGCCTGATCGGGAGTTAGGATTAGGGGGGCCCTTGGGGATATAGACCCTCTCAATAAGGCCCCTTTTAAGAGAGCCAGAAGTAGGGTTCAGAAGGGGTACCCTTCAAGGGGTCTCCCTAATAATACTACCTACTGATGGCAGACTCAACGTGCAGCATTAAGACTCGTCCTTGTACTGTAACTGTAGTTATCTTGGGACTCTAAGCGCACATGACACGGGCTTAAGATAGGTCCTTATCAATGAGGGTAGGAAACTTGGGTGCACATCATACTGCAAAAATTTTGGGACTCTAAGTTCAGGGAGTTTACCCTATTCGCTGGGAGCATGCCACCACTAAGCTGCCACTTGCCTCTCTTCTTCTTCCCTGCGCTTCCTGCATGCACGGTTTGCTTGCGGTCAAGGCATCGAGACCAGGGCTGGGGGAATACTGTGGGGTGTAGGTCCTTTAAACCTCTGGACTCGCGCTGAGGTAGCTCACTTAAGCTACCATACTCGGGATATTATGCAAACAGAATACTGCAGAATTCAGTATAGCGTAATATAACAACATAATATAGTATACGATATCTTAATTTAGTATAACAGTATACTATGATATAGTATATTATGATTTACTGTAATAGTATCCTCTAATTCTTCCAGAACCCAGGCGTGGAGACATCAGAAGTGTCAAGGCTCCACCTTGAGCCCCAGACTTCCCAGGAATCTCCCAAAAATGAAGGGTAACCTGTCTCCCGTTTTTCAGTCGTAGGACTTAGAGCTGTTTAGGGATGTTTACGGGCTTAGGGTTTAGGCTTTTTTTTTAAGGGCTCTTTTGCGTCTGCACGAGGGTTTAGGCTTCAGGGTTTAGGGTTTTAAAAAGCAGACCCCAGCGCCAAGGGGTAAATGAACTCCTGGCCGTTCAAGTCCCGAGTCCCGGTACCCTCAGCTTGGAGCTGAGGGCCGGCCATCAACCCGGAAAGCCACACATGTAAAACAGTAGCAATAGTAGAAAACAGTAATATTTAAAGCAGTAATGATAGTAGAAAACCAATCAGGATTATTAACTACATGTTTAGATAGTATAAAACAATAATGATTATGATTTTTCGTATTACTCCTCTTCTTATTATCATTAAGATGATGATTCTTATTATTATGAACCCCAATTCCCGAAAACCCCGCCTAATAGCGACAGAGTAGCCAGAGTCAGCATTAGGGTTTAGGGTCTAGGGCGAGGGTTTAGTTTAGGGTTTTAAGGATTCAAACCTGGAGTGCAATCTGAGAAGAGCCCGTTTCTCATTTAAAGAGAAAAAGCCAGCCAGAGGGGGGCCCGAAAAGGCCTCTGTTGCTAAACCCTAAACCCCTAAACCCCTAAACCCTAAACCCTAAGCCCTAAACCCCTAAACCCTAAACCCTAAACCCCTAAACCCCTAAACCCCTAAACCCCTAAAGCCCTAAACCCCTAAACCCTGAGCCCTAAACCATAAACCAGGGGGAGGCCTTTGCTGCTCCTCGATCTGCAGCCTCCGCTTCGTTGCGGCGTCCTGGACCTGCCCAGCGAAGCCCACAGAAAGGAAGAATCCGTGAACTAGCGTAGTGGCCTTACAAATCAGCATAGGGCTTTGGAGATTATTATACTATAAGTAGAATATGGAACCCCCAAAACCCTTTTCTAATTATGAAGGCCCTACATTACAAGGATTAACGTAAGGTCTATTCCTCAACCAACGGCTTTGGCATTTGGGGCGGTTTGTGGTTGGCCTTGTATAGGGTGTCACAGGTTTGACAGTCTTACGGCACAAACGGTTCGAAAAGTGTTTTTAAAGGTATTGTGAGGCCTTATTCATTAGAGCAAGGTTCTGGGGTATATTCTACCATGTTTATATCCATGTGGGAGTTATAATGGGTAAATCGTTGGTAATTTTCCGACTCCTATATACAAGCAACCGGCTCAGCCCTGAAGAACTGAAACTCGACACTTGTCGGAATCCATGAGCCCCATTCGAAGCACTGGAGTCGGAGCCAGGGGTCTCAGATCCGTTCAAGAACGCTCCTTAAAGCCGGAGTCTTGATGCGAGGCCACCCAGAGAAGAGAACAAGCCTTGGGGTCCACAACCATAGACCCTGGACATGCGGATATGAAAGCGTCTGGAAGGAAGAGAAGAGAAACCGCGAGAGTGTCCTTATAGAGCTTCGGGACCATGTCAGGCACCGCCCTTGAGCCCTAAACCCCTAAACCGACTCTACGCCCTTGAATCCCACAAAAAGCCCACTGCAACGACACCCTTACAGTGCCCTCTTGAAAGAAGGAGCCCAGGGGGAGCCACGACCCACATGTTGGGGTCAGGATAGGAGAAGCAAGCCACCCGGGGCCTAAGCAACCAGCTGGAGGCCTCCAGAGCTTGCAAAGTTCCCAGAGACTCCAATACCCCTTAATTAAGGAATATACCTTAAATTATAGTAGGGTCCCTAATATGATTTAAGGTATATTCCTTAATTAAGGGGTATTGGAGTCTCTGGTTTGCGGTTTCGATCTTAAGTCGCAAAAGAGCCTCCTCGTCCATCTTCTCAGCCGTCTTGGGCTGAGCCGGCTCCACTGGGTCCCCTTGCCTGGCACGCATGCTTCACGTTTGGGGAATATTCCTTAAATTATAGTAGGATCCCTAATATGATTTAAGGACTATTCCTTAATTAAGGGATATTGGAGTCTCTGGGTTGGGCGGTTGTCAAAATGATGGTCCCTCTTTTGGGTACCCTAAACAAAAGGTGCCGTATTATAATAATGAGCCACACAGGCACCCCTAAACCCCTAAACCCTAAACCCTAAACCCCTAAACCCTAAACCCCTAAACCCTAAACCCCTAAGCCCTAAACCCTAAACCCCTAAACCCTAAACCCCTAAACCCGACCCTGACTTTGACAACCACAAATTTGAGTGTTTCAGGGCTCAGGAATCTCGGGCCCAGGGCTCAGGATTCATGATTCTGAAGGCTTGAGGTATATGGGAGCTTCCGAAAACAGGGGACCCTAGTATAGCACCCTAAAAAGTAGGATCCTTAATATAAGGGCCCCACAAGAAGGTACCCCTAGTTTTCGGAAACTCCCATATTGCGGGCTGCAGTGAAGATGAGCGAGGGTCGGGAGAGGAGCGGAGCATCCGAGTCAAGACCTGGACCCGCCCGCGTCTGAGGATAGAGTTCATGTTATGTAGAAGACCCCTAATTAACAAACCCCCGCTGTCTGTGAAGGAATGGAAAATTGGGATCTCTTGGCTCATCCTCAAGTCTAAGCATACGCGAGACCTATCCAGATCTAACTCAACCGTAATCCTGAACCGCATCGAGGCCTTCGTCAAGACTGTATTAGGAAAGTCATCATCGTTCGCTGGTTGCTGCTGAGGCTCCGAGGCTTGGTGCTAGACCCCAAACCAAGGTTTGGATCTTAGCTGAGAACCTTGCTGTCCCAGACAGCTGAAGCGAAGCTCAACCGACTTAACAACCGCCACACAACTCTGCCCAAACGAACCACCCTAAACCCAAAGCTCGAAACCCTGAACTCTATAAGCAGCCTCGCCAGAGTCGCTGACATCCATGCGCACTAAAGTCTCCCTTTCACCCCGGGCCTTCCGTGACGGGGGGCTCTCCGAGCGCGAAGCTTTCAAGCAAGAAGCCCAAACCTTCCCATAAACATGACTATACATGCATACTATACATATAACCTATCTATCTATCCATCTATCTCAATATACACCCACACACGCACACCCCCCCCCCCCAAAAAAAAAAAATAATAATAATAAAAGAAACACACACACACACACACACTTTCTTGAGGCCCGCCTTTGTCTCTGAGCCGCTTCCACCTTCGAGGCCGAGCATGGTCAGGGCTCAGGCGACTTGGTCTCACTTTCTCATCCTTTGGGTAGAACCCTTTTAAATTTCAAACTCTGCTTTGGGAAACTCACTGCGGACTACTGTGCCCACCCCTACATAACCAGCCGCTTGGGCTTGGGACAGAGGTTTGAGCATGCTCGCTGGATCCAGTCGTGGAATCAACAAAAACAACAAACCACTTAGAAGGGGCCCCCACCCTGTAATAGTGGTATAATAGGAATATAATAGGGCCCTAATATGAATCCTTATCGTCACTATTACAGGGTGGGGGCCCCTTCTAACAAACCACCCAGAAAGACCCTGACATCAACCGCCGAATTCACAAAAACTGTCAAACAATCTCACCGAAAACCATCGCAAGAAGTCCTCGACAAAACCTGGACCAAACATTCTTGTATCCCGAAACACCAAAACAATAGCCTCAATCCTTAAAGCCCCAAGAGCATTTAAAACCAAACTCCTACAGCTCACAGGCCTAACTAAACTGTATATTCCTACACCCCAGACCCCACTCCAAAACAGTAAGAACATGATTACGTGCACTCCAAATCCCAAACCCTAAAACCTGAACTCTAAAGACTCTGAAGGCAACCAAGAAGCAAAGCTTCGAAGCCTCTTTATAAGAGCCCTTCATCGAACTCTTACAGGAAGCATTTACAAGGAACCCTTTAAAGGAACCCTTCAACGACTCGTACAAAACCCAACCCTGGACCCTAAATGCTCGACCCCAAACCCGAAACTCAAGACCCCAGTCTGGGTTCTTTCTTGTTACGATAGATCCCTATCATGGTAACTTAAACTACATCCCTTAACCCTAAACCCTAAACCCTTATAATGGTAACTTAAACTAAACCCCTTAACCCTAAACCCTAAACCCCTATTGTGGTAACTTGAACTAAATCCCTCAACCCTAAACCCTAAACCTTAAGCCCCTATTATGGTAACTTAAACTAAATCCCTGAACCCTAAACCCTAAACCCCCTATTATGGTAACTTGAACTAAATCCCTTAGCCCTAAACCCCCTATTATGGTAACTTAAGCTAAATCCCTTACCCCTAAACCCAAAACCCTGAACCCCTATTATGGTAACTTAAACTAAATCCCTAAACCCTAAACCCTAAACCCCTATTATGGTAACTTAAACTAAATCCCTAAACCCTAAACCCTCAACCCCTATTATGGTAACTTAAACTAAATCCCTAAACCCTAAACCCTAAACCCCTATTATGCCTATTATGGTAACTTAAGCTAAATCCCTGAACAAGAACCCAGCCTCGGCCCTCCAGGAGTAGCCCTGCTTCCGCGAGAGGAGTCGCTCCCGGCGCCGGGCCTCCCAAAAAAGCCGGCGCTTTGGGTTTAGGGTTCAGGGTTTAGGTTTAGGGATCAGGGTTTAGGGTTTAGGGTTTAGGTTGCCCTGAAGAGGTCTACAATCTGTAACTGGGGGCCTTCAGACGAAGAGTAGAAATCCTTTAAGGGATCCATAACACAGAATTGAAGGGCCTGTCCAAGGTTAGGAAGGCCTTGCGGGGAAGCGCTTGGGGCTAAAAGGGTCTACAAGCGATCCGCGAGGATTTCTACAATGCTCCACGATAGTGCTTGTAAGTGCCTTCAAGGCTTTTAGATCTTTTAGGGCCTAGTCTTTGACCACAGCAGTTAGGGGCTTGAGGCTTAGAATTTGTGCCTTGGCACTTCCACAACTTTCCGGGCTTTGAAACGGGTTTAAACGGGTCTTGCACGACTTGATCAGGAATACGGTACAAGGAATCTATACAAGGATTTACTTAGGTTTCGTGGGGGTGTGAAATTTTCACTGTGAGCTGAAGACCGGAGGGCTTTCGTCAGTTGAGTTTAGAGTTCAGGCGTACACGCGTTCAGCGCCTTCAGGTGTGGGGTCATGCAATGCAAAGCCTCCTTCCTGAAAAAGAATCATAAAGAGGCCCCCTAATATTGAGGCCCTCTTACGGTATATATATATATATATATATCAATATCACGAGTCGACTTTGCTAGGACTGCGACGACGGGCCCAGAAAGAACCCAACACAAACCCTAACTAAGACCTAAACCCTACCAGTCGGATCGCCTCCTCTTCTTTCTTCTGCTCCGTCCTGTGGGAGACTTTGAAACCGCGCTTTGGAGTTCGAGGATTTTATGACAATCTTTGAGGCGGGATTCACAGGCTTATCGAATCCGAGCTCAAGCCCAAACCTATCACCGAGCTCTGCGAGGGCTGTAAGGCCGGCTGTAAGGCCGGTTGTAAGGCCGGCTGATGACCTACGGCCGCAACGAGTCCGAAGCTTCGCGCGAGAGAGAGAGAGAGAGAGAGAGATAGAGAGAGAGAGAGAGAGAGACCCAGAGACTCCAATATCCTTAATTGAGGAATATTCCTTAAATTATAGTAGGATTCCTAATATGATTTAAGGACTCTTCCTTAATTAGGGGATATTGGAGTCTCTGGCAACGGCTCAACCTCAGGCCTGAACCGTCCCTGAGCACCGCAGCCAAAGGAAAGCAGAGAAACTTCGGCATCAGCGTACGACCAGGAGACCTCAAAAGCCTAAGTCCAGAAGCCGCGCGCCCCAAAACCCAAGCCACCAGAAACGTCGAGACCACCACCCTAAAGCCTAAACCCTAATACTACACCCAAAAAAAGTTAAAACCGAAATACTAAAACCCAACTACTAAACCCAAACCCAAGTACTAAACCAAAAAGCAACCCTGACACGCATCGCCCGACCCCACCTGGCTCGGGCCATTTCCTTGCGCTGAAGATCCGCGACTGAGCGAAGCAGGGGGTGTTTCGGGGTTTTGAGCGTTACCTTAACCCACCAGTTTGTAGGGTCCCTATAACTTCATATAGGTTTTACTATAGGAACCTACAAAAAACTAGGGTTTGGTCAGTAAAGGTAGGGTTTAGGAAGCTTAGGGTTGTTTTAATTTAACGCCTTTTGCCGACTGTCTGCAGCTGCGAACATTCGAAATCCTCAGGGTTTGGGGTTTAGGGTCTCAGGTTGAGGGCTTAGGGTTGAGGGTGTAGGGTTTTGCTTCAGGTTCCGAAGTTTGTGGTGTGTTGGGCCTTCGGGTTAAGGCTTCAGGGCGTAGGGGCTTTCAGGCTTGGAGTTCTGTACGCTTTGAGAATCTGCGGGTTCAGGAGGTCTTTAGGGTTCGGGTGTGTGCTTTGGGCTTGGAGTTTAAGGCTTGACGGCTTAAAGCTCTGGGGTTTTGGGCTTTGGGGTTGTCAACCTCGGGTTCAACCTCGGGCTTCACTTGGGGTGCTCGGATTCAGGATTGAGTACTTAGATGGTAGCTTCGAACTTGTCTAAAGCTACTATAGGAGCCTTAACAATTAGAACAGGGTTTTGGGGCCCACTATACTATAACTAAGATATTGAACCCCGAGGATGGTATAGGTAGTTATTGAGGCCCCTATATTATCTATTAGGGTTTAGGGTTTGGGGTTTAGGGTTAAGGGTTTAGGGGTTTAGGGCTTAGGGTTTAGGGGTTTAGGGTTTAGGGTGACTTCTCTTCTCGCGGATCAACTGACGAGCCCCGCAGAAAGACATCCTACCATTCTGTGGGGTTGAGACGCGGCCCTGTTTTCAAGGGTTCCATGCCTAAACCGCAAAGCACTCAGACCCTAAAACCGCGAATTCAGCAAAACCCTCAAGACCCGAGTAGCCAAACGCAGCTTGCCCCAAAATACCCGTGCCACGTTGAAACAACCCCGTTGGGTTCATATCGCAATAGAAATGAAAAGTGTTTCCTAAGTAAGAAAAAGCCAGCAGATCACCTCGCCGCTGCTCTTCACGAAGTCGCTCGGACTCCTCATGCCTGACGGGCTCCGCTTCGGCTTCATCAGAATATCCCGTAGTTGAGACATATGTCCATGCATTACCCACGGCTGCAGGGCTTCTCAATATGATTCGAAGAGATTATTCTTCATGAATGGGCGTGGTAGGCTCGCCCGCCAAACTCAAAGCTCCGAACTGAACCGCATGAACCGTCACAGAAGTGCCTCTCCATCTCTTGTCGCTTCTGCTCGATGAACTCCTGCTGCTTTCGCTGCTCCTCTGCCTGGCAAGATGATGAAGAAGACCAGCTACAGGAACCGCAATACTAGTCCTGACAGCACGAGTTCAGATGTTGCCGACAATCAACAGGGTCGGACAACTTAGTATACTACCCATCGTCGTCATCATCCTGGCCGTCAGCATCGATTTCACTCATGTAATCACCACAACACAGCTAGCGAAACCAAGAGGCACATCGAGCTCATCAGCACCATCATAGCTTTACACACATCGGCAGCGTCGAAATTATAACCCCGTCATCATGATCTTCTCATCGGCTTGGACTTCCTCGTCAAAACGACTTTCTCTCATGGCTTCTACCCAAGGGTAAAAGGAGGGACCCTTAATAAGGACCCCTAGGTATATACCCTTTATATAGCTATTATATACTCATGATATAGCCTATTATAGGGTAGGGGTCCCCAGCAGACTGCCGACGCCTGCTTCTCGGCATCCTGCTGGGCGAGCAGTGCCTCACGGCAAACGCGCGGCTCCCAGAGACTCCAATAGCCCTTAATTAAGGAAGAGTCCTTAAATCATATTAGGGATCCTACTATAATTTAAGGAATAGTCCCCTAATTAAGGGATATTGGAGTCTCTGGGCTGCAAGTGCTTTGGCTTTCTGGCGCTTGGACTGGCTTGCGGTCCCGGAGATCTGAAACATCTGTACTCAAGGTTTAGGGTTTAGGGTTTAGGAAATCTGAAACATCTGTACTCAAGGTTCTTGCTGCAAGTATCCGTGCGAATATCGCCGCTATCCTCTCACAACTCGTATGCCCTATGCCGTCGTATGCATCTTTGGTCCTACACGCGAGGACCAAGAGGTCCCTAGAGCCTGCAGGGTGGACGCTCAGGACAATGGTAGGTAACGCACAAGCCTAGGCAATTCGACGCTGATCTGTTCAAACTGCGTTGAGACACAGCACACAAAATCCACCCAGGAACAGTATTACTCAGTAGTTAAGCCCCTGTTTACATCAACTTGTTCCCAAGCCTGGCATTATAATCAATAAAAGTTGCAGTCTCCAGGAGTTCAAACCCTTGCACGCACAGCATTCCCGAAGACTCCCCCAAGATTCCTCTAAGATGTGCCTGAAGGGTTCCTTCACATGTTCCTTCAGGCGTCCTATACAGATTCTAAGATTTGAAGGGATTTCCGCATTCAGGGTTTCGTAGGCTAAACTATGAATCTGCCCTTTCTGTCGCCTTCGCTTGGAGTTTCTCTCGCTTCTTCTCCTCGATGGCATTGCGCCGCTCTTCTTCCTGCCTTAGTCGATCTTATTCGGAAGTCTGCTTCTTCAGACAAGCATTCCAAGGACCTTTTCATAGGGACCCGACCACTTAGGATCTTGGTTTGGGTTCACTGTAACTCCCTAAAACGCTGAGATACGTTGCTTCCCGACAGGTCGTCGAATCCAACAAAGCGACGCCTCAAAAAACCCCCCTCACGACGATTGATCCGCGTACCAAAATCGAACCCTAGAAAACCCAAACCCCTGAGCCTTAAACTCCAAATAACAGAGCCTACTGCATTAGACAGGGATAGACGGGTGAACCACACAAATGCTTTGCCTTTCTCAGGCTCCGAACTGCCTTGCGCACAGCTTTGGCGGAACTTCCGCTCAACACAGCCTAGGTACCTGATATGTCCCTTAGACGACATAGGGGCTCTCATATAACCTACAGAACATTCTCATCAAGAAGGTGAATTTTCAGGGTCCTGGCACCGGAAGCTGCTAGGATCCCGGCTTCCGACGCACTTCCTGCTCCTCTTTCTGCCTCCTAGGGTTTAGGCGATTTAGGGTTTTGGGTTTTGAGCTTCGGGGTTCTGCTTTTCTTTAGGGCTCAATGGCAAGACTCTTGCAATGCATTGAGATATGCCCCTGCGCTGTGACTTCGAAAGCTTAGAAACCTTTTTTCTTTGATCCCTCTTGTGCAAAACTCGAAACCGAACGTGACCGCTCATCTGCTACACACCCAACGCTTTGAACTCCGTGATCTCTCTTGCCACCTAGTATGTCCTGAATCTCAATCATGAGCCCATGTCAATGACAGCTGCAAAGAGCGTGGAGCCTCTGACGCTCTTGCTGCTCCCTCCGCCGCTGATCCTCCGACGGCGCATCGACTTGAATTTCGGCTCTGAGCTCGGAAACTTGATCACATGCGAGGCACTCACAACGAAAGGCTGCAGAGATCCCGAGCAGCAGGGAGAACCCAAATTCTGAAAGCTTGACATGCAGAAAAAAAACGCGTGGCACTCCTCCTCCCTCCTTCTTGCTTCAGCCTCCTTTGCACAGACTGGAATCCGGCGCGGAGGGAGGGTTGTAATGCCTAAACCCCAAGCATGGCTGGCAGGCAGGGTTCGGGCCTTTTGCAAGAAGGTGTGGGCTGTTCAGCCTAAGTCTTCGTACTCCTTTGGAACCGTGGAATTTGGGATTACTGTAGAGCAGGAAAACCCGTCAGGATATGTCCTTTGGCAAATCGAAACAAGGTGCGACAATGGCGATGGGCAGGATAAGAAATGGCGGCCAAACAGTTAAAACCGCAGATCTCACCGCGCCTTCTTTTGCTGCTCGAGCTCCTGCTGCTTCACCTTGTCTCGCTTTGAGGACTAACGAGGGGAAACCTCTAAGACGCCTGACAATACAAACCACTACACTGCTCGCTTCGGACAGGGAACACCTCCGCCAGGCACACCCAAACCATTGAAACCGTCCATCGTCGCGAGCAACTTTCGACTTGGGGTGTACGCTGTTCGGCTTTCAGGCAAGAGATTTCCTACCCAAGTCCTGATGCAGTCTGCCTTTCTGAGCCTGCACACCCTTTCGGCGTGCTCACGGCGGATGGCACGGGCGTCGCGGCGGACCACGTGCATAGTCTTGGTCTGCAGATACTTCCCGAGCCTGGCCCAAGGGCGACTCAGAGGGACAAAGGGCCTAGGGCCTAGGGTTCAGGGTTTTGCCATGGTTTGGGACTTGGGGTTCGAGGGCTTAGAGTTTAGGGTTTAGGGTTTAGGGTTTTGGGTTTAGGGTTTAGGGTTTAGGGTTTTGGGGCTTAGGGTTGTAGCGGGCTTCAGGTTGAGGTGTGTAGAGGTTCGTTTCGGGCTTTAGGCCTTTAGGTCCTACAGGTTCTGTGTTGCTCGGCGGACGGAGGGATGCAATAGCCAGGGTAGCTCTTGTAGTCTGGGACCTCAAAAGACCTCAAAATGTGCCATGTTTAAATACACATCACCATACCAACCAAACTGCATGACAAACAATTAACTGATGCCCACGAAAAGGGGCCAAAAACGTGCCAACACGCAATCATGGTAGAAATCATAACGGATCTTCCTTACACCCATGACCTCCGGGCTCACGAGTCTCCCAAACTCCAACCAGGGAGCCAAGCCTGATGAGCTTGTGTCGCTGCTCTTGTTCTTCCCTCTCCTAGCAGCTGAACTTCTGAACTGTCAAAGAGACATCAGGATTCAGGATTCAGCATCGAAATGCTCCGTCTACTTGCAGCACCCAAGCCCTTAGTGCCGATCCACTAGTCTCACATGCTCCCAGGCACGTTTCCGCTTACTGCGAACTTTGCGTTTCTGAGCATCGAAACATGCTCATGCCCGAGTCGCCACCCCAACAACACTGATGGGAGGCCCAAAGGGGGTTTAAGATTCTTGGGGTAGGGATTCCTTAATATGAACCCTATTATGGGAACCCTAATCCCTACTAAACCCCCATAGACTAAAACCCCTTCTGGCCTCCTATGAAACACCCATTCTATCGGGTCTCCTGGCGAAGCTCCTCCTGCCGGCGTAGCTCCTCGGCACTCTTCTGCTCCTGTCGGTCTGACCCTGGGTGCCACCATCAGTACTATCGTATCACAGGTACTGCTGCTGCTGCTACATCGATCCTGGCTCGAGTACTACTACTTCAAGACTGGGACTTGCGATAATAGCGAACTTGTCTGGCGGTACTACTGTTGATTATTATTTGGACAGTGTTGCCACTTGACACTGCGATGATGAGCACCTGTTCAACTTCAATCTTGCACTCTACCAATGGCGCTGTGATAAACTACGCGGATACTAGGGTTCTGGCTTCTATGGTCGGCTCAGAACTCTCACTGCTATTATTGCTTCTGCTACTACGACTGGCCGCCAGCCCCTCCTGTGACCCCCCTTTGAAGCTTCAAAAAGCGGAGAAGTACGACTGCTTTAGAGGAGGAGGCCGGCGACCACTACTACTAGTACTAGTTTAGAGGGGCAGGCGGGCGACTACTACTACTACTACTACTACTACTACTACTACTACTACTACTACTACTACTACTACTACTACTACTACGACTACGACTACGACTACGACTACGACTACGACTACGACTACGACTACTACTACGACTACTACTACTACTACTACGACGACTACTACTACTACTACTACGACTACGACTACGACTACGACTACGACGACTACTACTACTACTACTGCTACTACTACTACTACTACTACTACTACTACTACTACTAGGTCAAGCCAAGCCAAGCCAAACCAAGCCAAGACATTTTAAAAGAGAGCTCCTTTCACCATTGTGTCAGAGGAAAACCCTATCTAACAATAAAACCCTGTCTAATAGGAAGACCCTATCTAACAATAACGAAACGGCTGTCCCGGGCAACAAAGGAGGCGAGAGGGGTGTCACAGGAGGGGGCTGGCGCCTACGACTGCTACTACCACCACCACCACCACCACGACTACTACGACTGCTACTCATACTACAACTGCTGCTGCCGCTACTGCTACTGCTACTGCTACTGCTACTGCTACTGCTACTGCGACTGCGACTGCGACTGCGACTGCGACTGCGACTGCGACTGCTACTGCGACTGCTACTGCTACTGCTACTGCTACTGCTACTGCTACTGCTACTGCTACTGCTACTGCGACTGCGACTGCGACTGCGACTGCGACTGCGACTGCCACTGCGACTGCGACTGCGACTGCGACTGCGACTGCGACTGCGACTGCGACTGCGACTGCGACTGCGACTGCGACTGCGACTGCGACTGCGACTGCGACTGCGACTGCGACTGCGACTGCGACTGCGACTGCGACTGCTGCTGCTGCTACTGCTAGTGCTACTGCTACTGCTACTGCTACGGCTACGGCTATGGCTACGGCTACGGCTACGGCTACCGCTACGACTACGACTACGACTACGGCTACGACTACGGCTACGACTACGACGACGAAAACTAGTCGTGACGATGACAGTAAAAGTAGATGTCGCCGTCGTAGACGTGGTGGCGCTGGAAATGCCAGTACTAGCGTCACCAGTACGAGTAGTACTACTAGCGGTACTACCAGTAATAGCAGTGCGTGCAGTCGTCGTCGCTGTCGTAGTCGTCGTCGTCGTGGCCGTCGCCGAAAATGGTGCTGGTGCTGGTGCGGCAACTAGAAGAGAAGTAACTGGCAACTGCCTAGCCAGTAGCAGCTTGTAACTAAAAGCCAGTAACGGTTAACCAGTGTAGCAAGTGACTACTGACTAGTGACTTGCGACTAGTATCTAATGAGGAGTAGCAAATAACCAACAACTAGTAACTAGTGACTCAGTACTCGGTCTATTAATGCAGCTACCACATACTGGTCCAGGCTAGTACTGTTACATATTATGAAGGTTCTCGGTGGTATCAAACTGGTCTCGCCCTCTCGTCCTCTCACTCCATCCCTGTTTGGAGTCCGTCGAAAGTTGCGAAGCCTGCTAAAGACGCTTTTCAGAAGTTCTCAGAAGCTTTGAACCCAAAACCCCAGACCCTGAACTCAAGAAACAACATCAGTCCTGAAAATAAATTCCCTGAGATCCCAAAGCCTAGGTTAACACTCATCCCGAGACAGTCTTCTCCGAAGCAACGGCACCTCAGAACCGCTGGAAGCCGTGGTAGTGGGCACCTTCAATAGGGATCCAGTTGTTCGTGGTTGTGGGGTCTTAAGTTCAGGGTTTAGGGATTAGGGCTTTGGGGATTTAGGGATATTTTCAGGTTTTTCTTGCTTGGGGCTCAAGGCTTCGATTGGGCTTCGGGATTCAAGCTTTACTTATCCTCAGGTTTCCTCTCAAGAGTTTTGGGATCTTTCGGGTACTTGCCGGAAGCTTCGAAGTCAGCTATCGGAGCCGCAACAAAACAGATCATGGTTCAGGGTTTAGGGTTTAGGGCGTCTCCAACCCTGAACCCTAAACCCCAAACCTTGAAGCTGGAGAGATTAGGCTTTTGGGGCAAGAGCTTGAGAGGAGCAGCGCTTCACATGGGGAACCTTTCTGACAGTCTGCAAGACTCTTACGCTCGAGGTCATTCATAGAAGTTTAGGGTTTAGAGTTTAGGGTTTAGGGTTTGAAAATTCATGGAAATCCTCCCCGAAACACCCTCCCCTGCCTCTCCACTCGGCCGCGCAGCGTCGTGGAGGGCCTCCTCGGCCTGCTCCTGGTGTGTTGAGCTTCAGCGCGTGAGGGTTTAGGGTTTAGGGGGGGCTCTGAATTCCAAGGGCTTCGGGTGTCAGAAGATCTGAAGAGAACGGAGCCAAAGACCTTCGAGAAAGTCGTGGGAAAAAGTGTCTGTTTTCAGAGAGCCACGACCGGGCGACTTAGAGCGCAGTGTGCTGAAGCTTGGGCTTGAGGGACTAGGACTTGGGATTAGGGCCCGCGCTGTACGGTTGGGGTTGTTTGCAGATTGGGGTTAAGGGTTTATAGTATAGTGCTTGGGGTCTGGGTTCACAGGTCAGGGTTCTAAGGATAGGGTTTTTGGTTTGGGGCTTGGTATTAAAGGTCTGAGGCTCAGGGGTGAACACCGCAAAACTCCTCTTGCTTTACCAGTCCTTGTTGACGATGCTTTTGCCCTCCACAGCGGCCACCCAGGTCCACGGTACGTGCTGAACAATGCCTTGGAGGTGGCTTGGGTTGCTCTTTTTCGAACCCCTAAACCCAGCTTTGTTCACCCCCACGGTTGTAGGGCATGAGAGCGACCGAAGTCTGCAAGCTCCGAAACCCCGCAAATCCTCCCCCAAAAGCCTTCGAACCCTAGGACACTCAACCCCAAACAAACCCCAGACCCAGAAAAACCACAAATCCCAAAACCCCAACTCCTTCACTGAACCCTAAACCCAAACCCAGAACCCTAAAAATCCAAAAAATCTCAAAGCTCCAAACCCTAAACCTGAAAAGAACCAAGAAACTGAACCTTCGGCCCTGAACGCTACTTCGAAGTCCAGTCGCCGAAATCGAAGAAGACGTCAATGCCAGAGGCGAAACACTCCTGCATTGCTGGATTGAGCGGTTCAAGGTTTAGGGCGTGGGACCGAGCAGTTGAAGTTCAGGATTTCGGGGAGGGCTTCGGGTTTGAGATTGAGGGCCGTTGAGCCACGGTAAAGCTGATGAAAGCCGTCTCCGCCCATAACCAGAACGGTGTGTTCCATTCAGATTTTCCGTCGATAGCTCTGTCGGTATCCTGCAACGCGCCTACGTTAGCATTCGGACAGCAGGAACCCCACTAAGCGAAATACTGGAGGACCACGAAAGAGCGTGGGGCATGTAGTCCGGCCTAGCTGGCCTGTTTGACTTAGGATTGCCGGAGCCGCAGCCAAAGTCGCGGCATCAGTAGCTAGAATTAATGACAATACCCCCATGTGGTCCCTATTATATCTATCTTCGTCCCTACCATAAAGGCCCTGTCATAAGGAGTGAAAGGAACGCATCGACGCTGACAGAGCGTGACTCATGTACTTACTCGCGGTTTGCTACACTCAGCCATTCGCTCTGGAAATGCTTCTGTGCTGTGTAAAGTACAACATTACTCTTGCTTTTGATGTGCTTCTGACCATGATAAGACAATAGTTGATACTACTCTTCGTGTGCTGCTAAGTTCCCAGAGACTCCAATATCCCTTTATTAGGGAATATTCCTTAAATTATAGTAGGAACCCTAATATGGTTTAAGGACTAGTCCTTAATTAAGGGATATTGGAGTCTCTGGGTTTGGCTGCTGTCAGCACCTCAAACTGACTGCGCGTGGTCTTGCTGCAACTACTCTTGCTTTGCAAACGGTTCTGAATGGAATTACTGTGTACCTGCTGTTCTTAACTATCGGAACTATCGTTGTGTAATCCCGGCAACCCACACCAAATACCAAGAGACTCCAAAATCCCTTAATTAAGGAATAGTCCTTAAATCATATTAGGGATCCTACTATAATTTAAGGAATATTCCCTAATTTGGGATATTGGAGTCTCTGGGTACTTGATGCCGAAGCTGCGAGAGACTCCTTGCACTCACCGTCGAAAGGGCTGCAGCTTTGCTTGCCGTCCGGTAAGCGAAAGTACGCCTCCAGCGCCATGCCAGCCTGGCGTGCACAGCTGGTGCTCGCGGCTTCGAAGTGCAGATTGTCTGCCCTTTGCGGAACGAGCTTAAGTTAGGAAACTGTTACTCGTTCCCCTGTCAGGTGCGCTGAAGAGCATCATCATGACTAGATCGGGAGCTTGATTGTGCTCATTGTGATTGTCATTGCGGATCCCGGCTGTTTGAGACGGGGGTTGTCCGTTCTTGACTTTCAGAAACGGTGGGCATCTTCGCCCCCTTCCTTGCGACCTTTGATACAACCACTTCAAAGCCCTTGCCCGCGGGCCCAGCACCACCCACGGCCTTCAGCTCTGAAAGACCTGGGCCGGGCCTGTGCAGGCGTGTTCAATTGTTTAGAAAGATTTTGAGTTTACATACTTTTCATACCTCATACAGGCTCTGGGAATTTACCGTTGGGCTTTAGAGGGTTTGGGTTTTCGGGCTTCCATGTTGTTTGGACATTGAAGGGCGGTTGTTTTGGGGTCGTTGGGGATTTTGGACGCAAAATCATGCTCAAAATTCTTTCAAGGCGAAGGCACATCTGCTAAGCTGATAAAACACTTATTGAAATCCACACGCGAACTTCCAAACCAAAACCGCTGTCAAAACCCTATACAATCCCTTGGTCAAACTTTAAGGCAGCCCTTACAACACGGTTGTAAAGACCGCTGACGAGTTCCAATCTTAACAGCCCATCAGTTCACGTCAAAACACGGCCTTGGCGGATCTTCATCCTGCTTTTGGCACCCGGAACTGGCGGCCTCCATGGCAAGAGCCTTTTAAAATGCCAAAGGAGGACCAGCAAAAGCAGCTACCTTGGTTGCAAGAAATTTCCGATACATTCTTGACAAAGGGCTTGATTTGGGTTTTCTCCTGTCTTGATGCACATGAGATTGCCATCTGCAACCTTTGACATCTGGCGGGCATCAAGCGCGATCGGATGACAACCTCAAACTAAATGAAAACCAGATTTCAGTGGCATAGCATGACGTACACACCCCGGCCTTGCTAAGACGACGACGGCTCACCTATATCCTAAATCATAACCGTTGTTATGCTATTCTGGCTCGACTGGATGGATGTCCTGAAGAAGGTCTACAACTCATGTCAACGAACTTATGACTTAACTTAAGCTGATTGTCTATGTCTCCTAAACCATGCACTTTAGAAGCTGCCCCCACCCTGTAATAGTGACCATAAGGTTTATATAGGATTATATTAGGGCCCTATTATATTCCCATTATACCACTATTACAGGGTGGGGGCAGCTTCTAACATGTACTCGATTACTAAAGGTTTGGGGTTCGGGAAACGCGCCGATCACCGTGGAAGATCGGCGCTTAGGCTCCTTGAAGAAGAGTTTAGGGTTTTGGGGGGTTTGAGGTTTAGGGTTTAGGGTTTTGGGGTTAGGGTTTAGGGTTTAGGGGTTTGAGGTTTAGGGTTTAGGGTTTTGGGTTTTGGGTTTAGGGTTTTGGGGTTTGAGGTTTAGGGTTTAGGGTTTGAGGTTTAGGGTTTAGGGTTTTGGGGTTAGGGGTTAGGGGTTAGGGTTTTGGGGTTTGGGTTTTGGGTCTTGGGTTTAGGGTTTTGGGGTTAGGGGTTAGGGGTTAGGGTTTTGGGGTTTGGGTTTTGGGTTTTGGGTTTAGGGTTTTGGGGTTTGAGGTTTAGGGTTTAGGATTTTGGGGTTAGGGGTTAGGGTTTTGGGGTTTGAGGTTTAGGGTTTAGGGTTTTGGGTTTTGGGTTTAGGGTTTTGGGGTTTGAGGTTTAGGGTTTAGGGTTTAGGGTTTAGGGATTTAGTGTTTGGGGTTTGAGGTTTAGGGTTTAGGGTTTAGGGTTTTGGGTTTGGGGTTTAGGGTTTAGAGATGAAATCGATGTCCTACAACCCTCGGGCCATCCGAGATCGCAGAGCCTGCGAAATTCAAACCAAGTCATCACCAAACCAAAGGCTTTAAAGTCTCACTTCAATCGCTGGATAGCATCTGAGAACCCCATAATCTGGCACCGAAGTCCAGAGATGTGAGAAGACAAACAGACTGACACCCATGTTCCATCACCAATGGAATGTCTGAGCCCCGAGGGTCCTGGCTCTTTTGGGCTGTCCTAGCAAGTTCCTTCGGGATGGTGGCTACTAAAACTTCTTGCGAGCATGTAGTTAAGCCTGTCCCTAGTCATGTGCATGCCTTTCTCTATCCGACAACCTCCAAACAGGCTCCAGGTGCTTCAAAACAACAACCGAGCACAAAAATCCAAAGCAGTGAGTTCAACGTACCACAAACCCATTTAATACGCTTTAGCCTGTCTGCTTCTGGAGCTGCCCCTTGCCTGTCTTCCTTGTCAATGCGGGCCCCATGCCGCGTCGAAAGCACGTCCATGCGCTTCAAAGTTTACGACTTCGCTGGGTTCGGACTGGGTGTTTTAGGGCGCGGGCTTTGTTTAGCTGCTTCGCATTTACCTGCAAGTTACGTGCCCTTGTTGTGGTGTTCGCAATAATTTTTTCAACGCAGCATTCAATATGTAAGTGTCAACGCCATCAGCTCACAGGCCGGAGAGCACAGCAACAGTAGCAGGGCTGCGCCCGTGCTTTCACCAGGCCTGGCCGGACCTGTACAAGTTCATGCATCTCTGCTGTGGAGTCTGCGTGACAGCTGCGCCGTCTTTCACACAAGCGCCCCGCAACACACTCAAGCCTTCTAGACTTTGACTGTACAACGCGCATTCTGAGAGCCAATCTGCACATGAGTCTGCTGTACCGGATTGTGCAGCTGGGTCCCGCAGCCGTGCTGAATCATCCAGCTCTGTACAGGTCGGCCAAAATTACCCATTAGGGGGCAAAAGGAGGGACCCCTCGACTAATTCCCGAATTTAACCCCTTTGTATACCCTACGTAGTCCCTATGTACCTAAGTAGCCCCCAAAATAACCCCTAAGGTCCCTTACAAGGGTCCCTCCTTTAGTCCATTGATGACCAGAACTCCGCGCACTCTTAAGCATATCTCTTGAAGCCCGGGAGCCAATCCGTGTTCGGCTTCTTCAGCCACTCGCTCACACGGGTGGTGGATTCAAAGACGCCGCTCACCTTCACCTGGCTGAAAGCAAAGATATCTCCCTAAATCCTAAACCCGAAACTCTAAACCTCTCTTAGAGCGACCCTCGTGGATGGTCGGCGTTCGGAGTTTTTGTGGGTGCAGGTCAGGGAGGCTATGATCTTTATGCGCATGCCAGGGTTTGCCAGGGCGCATCAAAAGGTGCTTGCACTTGCGGATGGCCCACTTCGGTGCTGACAAACCTTAGATTCCAATGCATCTGCCAAATGGCCTAAGGCAATGAGCAACCTGTCATGGAATGACTCAAGGTGTCTTTAAGTAGCACAGGATCAAGCAAAGCTTCCAGCACCGAGAAAAAAGGATCACTTGAAGAGAGCCTGCAATGCTCCAAGTACTAAGCCGATAGTTGCGATCGCTGCTTACCCATGCTCTAGAGAGAGTACATACTCCATTCAAAGGCTCCCAATGAGCAAACTGGCACACCAAGACTCCTATGGGAAGACTACCACCCACCCCAACAAGAACTGCATGAAAGTCCTCAGGGTGCCAAGCTGGGAGGCACTGGTTGCAGAAACTGCCAGGCTGAGAGACCTAAGCCTCAAGATCCAGAAACATGGCGATATTTTCGGGAATGATGGCTTGCTTACATCGGCTTTCTGTCCTTCCCTGGAGGAGCCGTTCATTGGCACCCCCTCTCTTATACTCCGGACTCAACAACAAAGTCCATAAAAACCATTCCAAACCTCGGACTATCGGGAATCGGGAAGAAACGTCGATAAAAGTTTCCCGCTTCTTGGCTCCTTCGAGCCTAAGCGGTCGACGGCAAGCGATACTGTGGGATCTTCCTCCTTTTACTAGCAGGCCTTATTGGGATTGTAGTACCCCCTATTAGATCCCTACTTAGGGCTCTTAGTATAGGGGGGAACATCCCAAGCGATACTATTCATTCAAGCTGCCGGCCGCCCAGCATGACGGAACGACCGTCTTTGGCCATGACTTCCAGCTGCGTCTGCCCTCCAGCCTGGGCGCGCGATGACAAGAGTCTTTCGACAGCCAACTGCTAGTAGCAGCTTCAGAGTGAGAAAGTTATGTCGTACATGTGTCGCAAGCAAGTCCGAAGAAGCAGCTTACAGCGGCTGCAGCTTAGCAGAGCCAGCAGCCGGACTCTGCCAGATGATCCAGAATGCTGGGAATGTCATGTTTGCAGTAGAGGCCTCAATCCTAAACGCTCCTAGTGTAGTACTTCTTTGGCATAGTATACCAAAACACCCTTTCTATACCAACCCCAAAAAGGGAACTACATTAGGAGCCTTCAGGAAAGGGTCTGTGAGATTCAAAAAAAGCTACCATTTGTTTAAGAACCCACCAAGAAAATACGAAATGTTCTTCCTTGGGAAATATCGGGATTTTTGTTGTTTATGTTTTGGGGTTCTAAGGAAACAGTAGAAAAGTCTCGGGGTCCGGCCTCCTGGGCATCCAGGACCGTTCCTGGCGCAACCTCGGAGTCACAGACCTGGGCGTCTTCGGGTAGTTAGGGTTTAGGGCTTAGGGTTTATTAGTGTGGGCCCTTCAAAGGGGACCCCTTCTATAACCCCTTGGAGATACATGCTAAGCGCCCAGGTACATCACCCATGCAACCAACTAAAGAGGGCGCAGGACGAGCCATGGCTTACCAAAGCTGTGTTGCCTCCTCTTGTGGCCCACGAAACCCAAAAAGAACCCTAAACCCCTAAACCCCTAAACCCACAGGTTAGGGTTTAGGGTTTAGGGGTTCGGGGGGTCCTCTTGTGGCCACCCAAGCCTAGCAAAAAATCGCCAGACCCCAGAGGTTACCTAGGCATAAAGAAAGGTTGCCCTCTTTGGTTTGAAGGGGGGTTCTAAGGGAACGTATGACACCCCCAAAAAGCGTTTAGGATTTCGGGTTTAGGGTTGAGGCTTTAGGGCCTACTCTGGGCCTAGTCATTCTGAGACCTGCTCTTATTATTACAACGCCTAGTGCTACTTTCGTCAAGTACTCATGCTCTCTGTGCTCCTGTGTACTTCGCGTAGTTGTACCCAGGGTTCACAGGCGAGCCGCATGGCCCAAAGCGCACGAGGTCACCTCCCAGGTAAGCCCCTCGTAGTCTGTGAAGAGGCCGAAGTTCCCAAAGAAGGCACGGTATGCCCTCTCGATGTCCATGGCCGTGTCCTGGTTTAGGGTTTAGGGTTGAGGGTTGAAAAGGAAGGCTTTGAGGGTTGAGGGGGGGAAGGTTTTGTTGTTTGCCACCGGCCTGGCCGCAGTTCTGCAGGCTCCATTTCAGAAAAGCTCAAATTCAACATGGAAGGAGTAGGGACATCGTGAGCAACAGAAATCGCTGAATCTGATGACCGGTACCTAGCATGCAAGCATCAAGTACAGCTAAAACTTAAAACAAAAAACAAAAACCTAAACCCTAAACCCTAAACCCTAATCAAGGGCTTATAATGGTTTCGATGCCCACCACATCCGAGCAAAGAACGTGCTGATCTCGCGTTGAAGGCGGGACTCTCATTAGGGTTCCCAAGTTCTGAGTAGTCCTCAACCTTTGAGACGCTATAGGCCCGAAGCCCTATATAAACCTACAGGTTAGGTACTGCCCCCTTACAGTAAGAGTCTAAAATAGGGCTACTATTAAGGTCCTAATATATCTATTTTCTGAACATTTTTCAACTATTACTGAGTGGGGGCCGTACCCAACCTATAAGCCCCCTGGAAGCCGTTAGGCTGTGCAAGCCCGATAAACCCTTTCGCTTTTAACCTTGGGATGCTCCCCTTACTACTAGCTGTCCTGAATAGGGATGATAATCGGGGGTACGATAATCCCTACTAAGGACTGTTAGTATAAGGGGAACATCCCAATCACAAACCCCTAAACAAAAACCTAAAGCCTAAACTGGCAGCCTTAAAAATCCCAAACTCCAGGTTCCCCTTTATACTAGCTGTCTTAGAAAAAGGGGGAACATCCCAACTTTAAACCCTACCCTCTAGACGGGCCCTTCGTAGCCTTAAGCCCCCTCAATGCCCGAGAGCCTGGTCCCAGTCGATGCGGGTGCGGGCGAAGACTCCTGACACACAGTCGACTCCCTAAGAAGGAAACAAAAGGGGCCTGAAGAATTAGAGTCGGGGGTTGTTGTAGTATAACTACAAAGGGACTCTAGGAGAGTATTATCAGTAATTCGTCCGACCCCTACATTAATTGAAGCAGTAGGGTGCTCACGAAGCCTAGGGAGTAGGGCTGCGAAGCGTCCTCTCTCTCTCTCTCTCCCTCTCTCTCTCTCTCTCTCTCTCTCTCTCTCTCTCTCTCTCTCTCTCTCTCTCTCTCTCTCTCTCTCTCTCTCTCTCTCTCTCTCTCTCTCTCTCTCTCTCTCTCTCTCTCTCACACACACACACCGGCAGGAGATGGGGAGACAAATGCATCGAAGGGGTTCGGGGCTTAGGGTCTTCCGATTCGCGGGGGGAGAGTCCGCTTCTGCACCATCTTCATCGTCAACATCATCATCAACTAGCTTCCTGGCATTGGGGCATCATCGTCTCACACGGCCTGTGTCTTCTCTTCAACAAATCGCTCGCAAAGTCGGCTTACGTGGTGAACTCTTGTTCGCACCTCGAACTCCTGGAGCCAATACACCCTGCCTGAGCTTTTTTGTTTCCCTGAGCGGAGGCTTAAGCAGTTCGTCGCCAGAGAACTGGGCCCTTAACCCTAAACCCTAAACCTTGAACCCTAAACCTTGAACCCTAAACCCCCGAAACCCGAAACCCTGAAGCCCTGCACCCAAAATCTGGAACCACCATCAACTGCAGCACTGCCGGGTCCCGAGTTCGACTTCTTCTGCTCGCCCGCAATCATCCTTGTCTCCAGCTTTACTCCGAAACAGTGCGGGATGTCATCCTCCACCTGGTGGTTGTCAAGATTAGGGTCCCTTGTTGGGTCCCTAATATAGTACCGCACCTAATATTTAGGGTACCCCAAAAGGGGCCATAACTTTGACAACCACCCACCCTATAAAGACCAAAGGAACCCCCAAATCTTGAGGTCATATACCCTAAAACTACTATAATTCATTCTAAGGTAATATGAACCCTAAAACCCCACATGAACCCTTAACATCAGGGTCATACACTCTGCACTACGATAATTCCTACCAAGGTAATATGAATAATAAACCCTTGGTTGGGTTCATTTGGGCCCCAAGGCACTATCAGAACCGGCGCCTTCGATTCCACCTTTCCGAGTGCAGCTCCCTGTCCTCCAGGAAGTGTGGCAATGGCCTTTTGTACCAGATCCTTGGGTGCCAAGAACAGGCTTGGGTTTGTGGGGTGTAGGGTTTAGGGTTTAGGAAAATTGGGGTTCATATACCCTATAATAGTATGAAGATATTTGAAATGATAAACCCTTTTAGGGTTCAAGATATCCAACACTGCTATAGAATCCCAACCAAGGCATATGAATCCGTAAGCTCTTTTGGGGGTTCACAGTTGGCCCCCCAATTAGGATGGCCCTTAAACCCCTCTGAAAAATATTCCTAAAAACGATCCTCTTCAACCCAATAACGAAACATATACATTATCCCAAAGGGCCTACCCCCTCAACTCTAAACCCTCACCGTAAACCCTCAACCCTAATCCAAGGTTCGGGCAAGGGCACTGCCGAGGCATCCAACAAGTCCTGCGTAGTCGTTTTGTCGCTGAGGCTGATTGGAGCGCTGGTGGCCACGATGGTCGAAGGGTCCTTGGGGGACCAAAGGAACCACAAAAGGGCTTTATTAATTCATTAACCCAAAACGGAACTAGAGTAGTATAAGGGCTTATGCACCTATTTCAAAAAGGGTTCTATGCTTCATTTACCCAAATAGGTGACCTACAGTAGTATTAGGGAGTGCGAATCCCATGCTTAGGGTTCACTTGCTCCCCAAGGGTCATCGATGATCTCTGTGAGGCGGTGCAAGGTGACCGGCATCTCCTTCTCACCACGGAGGATGTGGGCATGAAGAGGCAGGCCGCCGCGATATAGCCTTAGTTGCTGAGGTCATAAGCCCCCAAAAAAGTGTACATTTTCCGTTCTCTAGAGGATCACAGTACCCCAAAAGGTGTAAAGTGTACGTGTTCAGCTACTAAGTCGCGGCAACGCGGAGGGATGGACGTTCCATGCGGCCATGCTTGGGATGGAAATGGCATGGTTTGGCAGCACATAGAAGCCAGCTGTGAGCAAGATGTCGGGCTTCTCTTGCCTCAATTCTTCGTAGACCCTCTCCACTGCCTCCCGATACTCGGCGTTCTGTTTGCAGATGCTGGCGAACCGAAAACCGTCGGAGCACGTGGGGAAGTGCTTGAAGGGAATACCAGCCTCAACACAAAGATCTTGAACAGCAGGCGCCAGACTAACCACCTGCAAGTCATGGTTCCGCAACAAAGGGAGGAGGACTTGGACAAACTCGATCCTGTTGGACAGCAATGCGATGCGAAGCAGGCCACATTTCTGCTCTTCATTGGATGTCTCCTCCTGAGACAGCTACCCTAAACCCTAAGCTCTAAGCCCCAAGCCTTCAGAGCTTCAGACTGACCCTGGATCCTATAGTCCACAGTTGATTTACCTACGCAGAAATCTGCAAGCTGTTCGACAACCCAGTTCGCGTCATGAGAGACGTCGAGGCGTCCCGTCTGATGCCCCCTACCTGCAATGTCGTGCCCGGAAGCTCCCCGTTTTAAGCACGGACTGAGGAGGCTGCCGGCAACACAGACCCTAAATCCCTGCGTTTTGGGTATTTGGGCACTCCCACCTGGTCCGAGAACCTGAGAAAGAGGGGCTGGTGCAGTGCAGCTACCAGTGACGCCAGTGCCAGGAAGAGTGAAGAAGACAGGGAGGTCCAAGCCTTTGCAGCCCCATGAAAGTTTGGAGAGTGTACTTACAAGGTTGAGGGCTTTCGGCCTTCAGGAAAGGGATTGTCCCCCCTTACTATCGCCTACTATTGAAATAGCTAAGGAGAGCTTATATAGCCGAGGCTACTGCAACCGCACTTTAAAGCGACTTTAGTATCCACCTGGCCTGCGCCTGCTCGGATAGCCAGGCCAACCCCAAGAATCCGGCCACGGATGCGATGCCCCGCACGGCCGCCATCATCGCGAAGGCGCTACCGGAACAGTCGGGATACCGATAGGAGACCAGCGTGGTATTCCCCGTCCTAAGTGTGGTCTACATTCTAAGTTCGGACCAGGAACGACGACCTGCAACCAGGGACGACTGCAGGTAAAGCTCACCTCCTGCTAGCCATACTATTTGCAGGTTGGAATTGGAATAGTGGGCCAGACGTCGGATCACAGCAGCATGGAGCAAAGAAAGAACGGAAGCCCAATCCAAAGAACCTCAAACCCTAGTAGGTGCCAAGCAGCCGCGTCAAGATGACACCCACACCCAACAGAAGCGATCCGGCACATGCGCAAACAGCACTGGCCAGGGAGCTCCCAGCTTTTAGAAAGGCCTGGTGTGCAAAGATAAGGATGGCCGCAAGGACCAGCAGGAAGGCTTGCAAGACAAGGATGGGGCGACGCCCAAACTTCTGGGCCAGTGGGGCATAGACAAGCGCAGCAAGCATGTGGCCAAGCCCCGTGAGAAGCATTACCAGCTGCAAGCGCTCTTGGAAGACGAGATCACCAGGATCACGTTTGACAAGCCCCCATTGAGCCAGCAAGGGGAAGACGGCTGACCCAAGCGCGTTCAGGCACAAGCCTTCCCCCAAACCCAACGCGCACAACCGCAGTGCACTCGGATCTTTGTAGAAGATCCACTTCGAGGCTCTCCAGGAAGGCTTCTTGGTCTCACCGGTCTTGTCGCCCCCAGCGGCAGTTTGGGTGTCGCCGGGTTCCTTGGGGACCAAATGAACCCTAAAGGGTTTATATATGAGCCCAGGTTTGTGGTCCATATACCTGAGTAGGATTTATAGTAGTCTAGGCTATATTAGGGTCCCATATAAACCCCCTTATAATGAAGCCCAATAAGGTAGGGATGTCCCTATAAAATGCCTATGCTTATGTGCTTTTTGGGGGTCCCTATATATGACCCCATGTTTAGGGTTCACTTCGTCTGCAAGGTTCCGGAAGCCCCACCATGGACAAGACCCCGAGCACCGCCAGGAGGACGTACGCCGGCGCCTCGCGGCCGAACTGCCTCCTTGGATGCTTAAAACCTCTGAGAAATGTTTAGGGTTTAAAATTTAGGGCATATGAACCTCTTAAACCCAAGACAGGAAAATGTAAATTATCCCAAGGGCCTACCTAGCCTCAGGACGAAGGTGACGAGGGCGGGCCCCAGGAAGCAGTTGGCAAAGAAGCAGAAGGAAAAGATGGCCGCGTACCAGTCTAAGAGCTGCGCCGGGGCATAGTGCGTTAGAAGGTACCTTTGGTTAGTAGGGAAGGGAGGAATGGGGTATAATTATAACTACTATTACTACCATTCTTCCATTCCCTACTAACCAAAAGTAAGTACAAGGCACCCCTGCGCGGGCCACACGACTCCTTGGAGTAGTCCTGAGCTCAGGCTCTGCTCTACCTTGCTTCACTTCCTGATGCACTTTACATGAACCCTAAACCCTTAACCCTAAACCCTAATCTTAACTAACTAGTTATCGACATCCTTGCATTCCACGAACTTCGACACATTCACGTATATACACATAAGATAGAGAGAGAGTTTCACACATACACACAGGCCCGCATGCTTTCCCCTTCTTAGTATCTGTGCCCTTGCTTTGCTCATTCTCTCACCGTCGGCCTTAGATGGCTGCACACGACTGTCCAGTCCTGTAATGAGAGTACTGGACCATAGCATGATCTTGCCGTCGATGTTGAGGTCCCTCTCGGCCAGCAAGGACTGAGCAACCTCAAACAATCAAAGAACACGACAGATGCACTGTGCCCAGTATGCAAGCTATTGCAACACGACAAGTATAACGCTAATGAACAGAAAGCCTTCAAAGACAATGATATGCAAAAACAGTGAAGTTTTAATGTGCACATGCTGTGGTCAAACTAGTGATCGGTGTCCCACTTTAATGTTTGTATGTGGGATCTGTATGTGCGCGGGGTCATCTGTATCAAATGTGCGGTTCGGCTGCACGAACAGTCCTCTGCCATTCAGTTCACCATGCAGCGAAACCGCAAAATGCTACTGTGTTGAACTAGTTCGGTACATGTCATGTCTTGGGAACAAGAGCTATAGGGAGCGACGAATCTGTGGTCTCCCTGAGGTTATATATAGATAGGGACCATAGGAGAATGAACGCGATGGAAGTCTTTTGCATGAAGGGTGCAATGAACAATGGCGAGCACACAGCAACTTGGTTCGCGGCGTGTGGTAAAAAAAACATGTACACAAGGAACGACAGGCAGCTTTTCAACACTTGCCTGTCGATGATCAGGGGAGCTTTTCAGAATACATAGTAGATTTCGAACCAACTGGTTGAATCTATGTTTTGAATGTCGGGGAGTTTCAAGCCTTGGAAGCCTCAACAGAAACAGAAGCCTTCAGCCCCAAACCTGGGCCTTTTTGCGTGGTAAAAATTCGCATGCACGGGTAGCTGGGACGTCATAATCGCACGGGCATGGATGCGCTGACAAGCCACATGCGGTGGTAGCTCGGACGTAAGGATGAGAGCAAAAGTAGAGCTCTTGGGTTTGGGGACTGCGCTGCCTTAGGTGTTTGCGGGTTCTGGGCTTCAAGTCTTTTCGGAACGTCTGTCTTCCCTTTTCAGCTTGCAGTCGGGGCGACCACGTAGGAGCCAGAGGCAGTGACACCCATGAGTAGCCTTGCCAGGGTGCTCATCCAGAAACTCAAGCGTTGCCATTGGCCAGCCGAGTACTCCCCAACAAAACTACCAGCTCGACAATACAAAAAACGCTTCGCATCTAAACCCTAAACCCTGCTTGCAACTGGACTGCAAACAACCCAAGACCCTTTTTCCTAAACCCTAAACCCTTTTCTTAACCGTAAACCCTTCACCCTAAACCCCAGACCGCAAACCCCAATCAACGAACTGATGCTAGAGCACGTTCTGCTGGCTCCCGCGCGTCGGATGATGCACGGGGCTGCAAAGCTGCCCAAGAACGCACAGGCCTTGGCTGCATGGGTCTTTGCGAAGCAAAGCGGGTACCCTTTTTAAGCTATCCGACCATCAGTAAGAATGATTAATATATTTAGTGTATATTTTAGAATATTATAGAAAATTATGGTATATTTTAGTATGTTCCAGTTTGTTCTAATATTTTATAATACATTTTCGTATCTTATACTATATTATATTTAGTATATAATTGTATATTGTAATAGTTTGGGCTCTCTTCGGGGGATTCCTATTTTGGGAACTACCCACATTGGCTGTCAAGCACTATTAGCCAGGAACACCAGCTTCACAGATCTTCTGCGAACCTGCCAAACATTATCGAATTCTCGAACGAGTGCGTAGACAATTCAAGAGGACGGCGAGTAAAACGCACCCATATCAACTATAAACCCTAAACAATACTGGACCTTCCAAGGGTTGAAATTTCAGCTTGTTCAAAAACAACATTTTGTTCGTATCCGAGAACTAAAAAGTTTATCCTCTCTAGATTGGGACATGGACTCATGTTGGTTCCCGGCGCTCGACCGAAACTGGTTCTTAGTAGGGAATGATGGCATGAGGGCCCTCTGTATACTGTATACACTTCAAGGGATAGTATAGGGCCCTAATCCCCTCACTCCCTACTCAGAACCAGCCAGTGAAAAGAAGCGCTTTCTCTGCTGCAACTGCCATTGCTTAATCGGAGATCTGAGGGACATAGAACGCGGCCATGGCTTCATAGCCGAAGCGACCGTTGGACGAAGCCAGTACCCTGAGCAAATGCGGTGCTTAAGCGAAGAGCGTACCATGAGAATGACGAATGGATGCCACGAAAAAATACAGTTCTACTGTGGTAAAATACCGACTGAGTACAGTCGAGCAATCGCTGTGGGCTATGCGGCTATGCGCATGCGCGGCCACTTGCCTGCAGAAACTCAATCTCCCATGCAGATGCAATACAGAGGTTCTTGCATGCTGCGACGGGGCTTTAATGTCTGGCCACACACGAGAAATTTGATCGGGCACTTGCAGCGCAGGACCAAGAGATGTCCCGTGCACAACAATTTCCAAAAGCGAGCAGCGGTACTGTAAACAGCCCAATGGTGATCCATGGTGGGAGGCATAACCCTAAGCCCTTAACCCTGACGCCGTGGTGCTGGCTCGGCATGGCCCACTGGATCTCGCTGAAGGCCGAGAACAGGAGCGTCATGCCCAGGCAAAGGCGCGCAAATCCACCTCCGTTGCCGAGCCGATTCTTCCCTACGAGGCATCACTCAATGTTTCTGCTCTCCACTTCTCGTTACATAGGCAGACCCCTAAAACCGTCTGACTTTTTTTGTAAAGGAGCCATATTATATGACCCTCTTGAACCCCAATATGAGAAAGATAAAGTAACCCAAGGGCCTACCCAGCCAGGCAATGCAAACCGCAGCTTTAGCAGGCCATCAACTGTGTTGCAATGCTTCAGCACCTGGAATAGGGTTTAGGGTTTCGGGTTTAGGGTACTGACCCCAGGCTGTGGCGCGTCCAGCACCCGAAACCCTATTCTTGGGATGTTCCCCATTATACTAACACTCCTCAGTCGGGATTATATTGTTTCAATAGGGGTACTCTGATTCCTTTCAGGACAGTTAGCATAAGGTGGCAAATGCCAAGCCTAAGACCAAAGTCATCCACATCCCTAAGCCTCTCTGGGCGCCTGAGTTGGTCGGGAGCCGGGCCATGAACGCACTCATCGAAAGAGCGGCGAGGTTGCAAGCACGATCTCGAGCCCAAGTACTCCAGACTACACCAGAACTTGGGGTTTGTGGCTTCTTCGGGTTCAAAGAACCTTTTAACCTGCAAGAACGGAAAAACTTTCTGAAACTTTAAATGCGTCCAGGGCAGCGCTATGACACAAGGTGTGCAAAAGGACGCGGCCATCTTGCAAGCTCGTCGAAACGCTCTTCAGGCCCCTGAGTCTTTGTTTCCCGAGGTTAACCCAGATTTCCCCACAAGGGCACAAGGATCAGTTTTAGGGGCTGGGCCCACCCCCCTTCGACGAAGGGGGGCTTGAATGAAAATTTCCAATAGCGTTTCGAGAATCACCAGGAGTGTGCAATAATCAAGCAACAACAATCCAACAGAAATCTCGATCTGCTCCAGAATGCAATCACTCGGTCTCAGACTTTTGTCTGGATGCAATGAGCCAGTCTTGAGCCAATGCCAATTCGTAGGCATTGTGTCCGTGGGTCCAATATGAGCTGGAGAATGACCATGCAATCTAACACGGTCCCTTGATTGCGACGTGGTACGTCGGCAATCACAGCTGTACAATCTCCGCTCATTTTGTGGTTCTACAATGGTACTAGAATAGCAAAGAAACGAGACTTGAGTCAATCAAGTATGAATCGAAACAATCAGGCGATCCATCTAACGGCTTGAAACGCAATCACGGAACTACGCTGGCAATCTCACTCTTTTGCAATCAGAACTGAGCAATGTCTTGCAGTCACCCAATCTTCAACTATGTGCAATCATCATCCAGGAAACAATGTCTCCGTCGGTACATTGCAATCATAGGAGCAGATGGAATCAGCAATCAATCGGCAGTCTGCAGCGATTGTCTAGTGCTCAATCCGAGCATCATGTTGCCAATAGCTGTTGCAATCCTGAGCAGAAGATCAAAATCAGTACTGTGGTCAGCAAAATGCTGAAGGGCTCTCAATCGGGAGGCAGCAGTCCCATGCTCCTCAATGTTGAGAGACGCAATCCACTGTTGCCGTGGATCCTCAATCCACAGGTGCCGTGGATCAAGTGTGCCAATCGCTGTTGACCTTTGCGCTTCTTCTTCGCAATGGCCGCTGCTGTGGCCAACATCACATTGTATTCCTGAAACGTCACTGAGCCCGACGAGGAACTGGAATCTCCCAGTTCGGCACCCGCTGCAATCTCGTCGGCAGGGACTTCCTCGCAATTCTCCGACAATAGCATAAAGATCAGGGATCCCCTCAGTCTGCATACTGCTCACAGGGAATGCGCAATGCCTGTGCACAGCTTCTGTGGGCATCCAATTCGAGTAGCTCGAGTTGTGAATCAGGGAACACAATTTCTCCACTGTCAATGACGTGAGTTCCAGAATGATGCAATTCTGGCGAACAACGCCCGGAAGGCAATAGGTGTAATCGCCGCCACTCTGGTTCTGCATGCTGTCAATCGTCATGCACCATGAACAACTGAGGAATGAACAATTATGGTACTTCTTGAATCCTCCAATACCCTCCTGATTCTTCAATCTCGTGTCAGCCATCTCCCTCGTGGGTCTGAAAATCAATACTTTCACCAATTCGTTCTGCTAAGGAAAACCGTTACCCTAAACCAAATCCTAAACCCTAAACCCGAGAACGGAAAATGAATGCAATCCGAGCTCGGTCCACTCACTTTTCGATGGGATCGCAAAGATCGGCTGTGCCCGGCATACAAACGGGTTGACCCGAGGATGCCTTCTGTGGGGTGGCGACTGTTGCACCACCCCACGGACAAAAGAACTACGAGCGAAGCTACAACACTTGAGTGACAGCTTCGGACTAAGGGAGCGACCAGAAGGGTTTGTCGGGACTGAGCAGTCCACGCTAGAGCAGAGGCTACAAGCAAGAGGTGACCTGCAGACTACGGCGGTGAAACACATTGGGGCCAATGGCGGGCCCAGCAGGGAGCACCGAAGGACATGGTGCGGCAGCTGCGCGCTGCCGTGAGCAGCATTAGAAGAAGCAATGGCGATGTGAAGGCAGCAGCCTGCACCAGCACATTACCCGTGGCAGGATGCCAGAGGTAAAGCACAAAGTGAGAGTGAAGATGCAAGGAAGGATAGCACGCTCGATAAGGAGCCGGGCCTAGCCGAGGCCGGCGTGCACGCAAGCGAAAACAGGGCGGGTCGGGTGGGAAATCAAAATTGCGAAGCGACTTCGCTGCAACTTGATCCAAAGCGGAGTGCGGATGCACAGAGCTTCCACGACATGTACTGAGGCAAGAAGATGCAGGCACTGGCAAAAGCGAATAAAGGAAAACTTTCCAGTTTTACCAAAAGAAAGGAAACCGTTTTCCATTTGCAAAACATCAGTGGACAAGTCCACAAGTACATCACATTGGCCACGGGAGAATCGGGATTGGCGACACCAATGCGCCAATTTGCGGAGGCTCGCGTCAACACTGAATTGTGGATTCAACTGCCCGAGGGGCGTAGGAATGGTCGTAACTTGACCATTTGCCAATGACTCCACAACCGAAGATGGCAATGCAAGACAAACGAACCAATCAACCAGTTCATAAATGTGTCTGTAGTTGCGACATCTGTACAATGTCACAGCCACAGATCTGGTGAAGATCTGTTTCAATGCCCGATAGCATTCAGTCGTTTGGTCCAATAACAGGAATGCCAGGTTCAGTGTGAACACCAAGATTTCGTGCTCAATCTCGGTTGCAAGCATGTGAGCAATGCACCTGTTGCACAAGTGAATCAGGTTCAAGAATGCACAATTCGCATAGCCGCAATGCGCCGTGTACCCGTCCGGCGTCATCACTCTTGCCCACCTATTCGTGACAATCCAGCCTAACTGGAGCTCAATGCCAGTGACCTTTCCCGTGAAACGGGACATCTGCTGGCAATAGGTGGTCAATGCACCTTGGATCATGTCAGCAATCTCAAGAATCAATGGGCAATCCAAGTGAACAATGCCTTCATTCAGGGTCACTGTGACATAGTGGTCAATCGTCTGTGCCACCTCAATCAGCGCATTCTTCCACTGGAACAATTCAAGTGTTGCAGCAATTGTTGCAATATGCGAGAAAAAATCGCGAACGCTTCTCGCAATCGATTCAATACCGTCCTCTCAGGCCATCTCAATTCATGCTGTGGCTCATGAATGTGGCTGTTGACTTGACTCACAATGTTGAGAAATTGCTCCAATGGTGTGTTATGGGGCAATGTCACAGGAGGAGCTCCCATGATGAACTCCGGTGCGGCAGCCATGGCAATCGGAGTCAATCTAAGGCAATCGTAAGGACGAATCTGCTTTCCCAATCTAAGAGCAATCGCAAGCGGGAGCAATAAGTAAATCAACAATTCACACAAAAGGCACACTCCAGGTTCAAAATCCTCTCAAAAGGATTTCAAATCATGCTATGTACAGTTTCGCCAATTTGGCAATGTTTGACCGAATCGGTTCGTGTAGAGCTCGAAACAATGAATGTTCGGCGCTCCATGCCAATGCTATGTACACTTCTCCACTAAATGCCAAGTCGCTTCATCCAATTGAAAAATCGATAAATTCTTGTTTCTTGCAATTCAAACACGGAGGTCCATGACACTCCAAGGAAAATCTTCCTGGTCAATGTGTTCCAGCAGGAATGATAAAGTCGTGCCAATGCACATGCTGAGTTCAAACGAAACTCACTCAATTCTCACCTCTTCTTTCTTTTGACGCAATACGCACTCTGAGGCAAGAGCGTGCGTAACGAAACATGCAATAAACTCCAATCACCTGCAGTCAGAGCCAGGCGGTCCCTTAGACAAGGCGAGCCAATTCTTCCGTGAGACGGATGAAACAATGTTTGTTTGGTTTTGGGATTTTCTCAATGCTGTACAGATCGAACACAATCGAGATCAACTCGCAGACAATAACGAGGTTCTCAAGACCGTACCGACCAAAACAATGGACATAAAGACAATGACAGAATAAAGAGCAACAACTTTCCACGAGGAGCAAATTGCGACAATGCAACTGGCAATAACGACTTGTTGCCAGGCAGTGCGTAACAGTCACAATGTACCATTTGCCGTCCAATGGAGACTTTTCACAAAAGTCAGGACAGACAATGACGAGACAGGGAATCTTGCTGAGACAAATCTCACTCAATGGACAAAGCTTCACAATCCGTGGACAAATGACGGACAAATCCTCACAGTCCGTGGACAAATGCGGACAAATCCTCGCAATCCGTGAACAAATGACGGACAAATTAGAGCAACTAACAGGCTGAACCAACTGGCCCATAACAGTCAATAGCCAGGGTTCAATGCATGGCCTGACAGGGTCAGCACTGATTCTTGCGCAATGTCCGCAATTCGTCAAAACGTCCTTGGCTGAGAATCCAATCCTCAGAAATATGCCCGGAAGTCTTGCCAGAGGCTCCTTGGTCAATATCAAGGCTTCCTCAGTATCAAAAAGACAA